GGAGACCCAGTAACTCACAGGCTCCGTTTCTGGCTTCTCTAAAAGCACATTGTGGGAGAGCTCACCCCCACCCGCTTGCTCCAGGAAGCCTGTTCCATTGCTCAGTGCTAGCTGAGATGAAGTCTCTAGGGTCTGTGTTCCCTGCTTCTAACCCTGTCCCTGTGAGCCTCTCAGCACAAGCTTAAAGCCAAAGTCAGTCTGTTCCTTGAACACAGACCTAGGTTCCGCCTTCCACTGTTTACCAGAAATTATTACAATGCAAAGCCAACATGGCTCAAGATGCCTGTTAATGTATTTCTTGCCACAGTCAATGCAAGAGAAGTCCAGGAACAGCAAAAGACTTTCATCATTTGGTTGCCATTCAACATATTCTCATATCTTCTCTGGGGCCAGGATGGCACTCCTACTGGCTTTCAGGGCATGAAGATTCTGTTCTACAAGGAGCTTGTCCATGAGTGGCATAGGGCCAACTCATCAAGAGAAATGCATGCGTGGGTAAAGCGGAGAGCACCAGGGGTGCAGAGCTCCTCCTGTGCAGAGTTCTGGCCTGGGAAGGGGTAGACTGTGGGTGTCATAAATACCTGGTACAGTGGGTTTCTAGGAGTTTGTTGCCCCCAAGTGCCCTCCAGCTCCCAGGACTATAAGTCAGGCTTTCTTCCCTCCCAGGTCCCTCTTCTCTAGTTGTAACACAAGGCTAACTCAAAGCCTCTAAATGCTGGGGATGGATGAAAATCAATCCCTTTCTTCCTTCCTTCCTTCCTTCCTTCCTTCCTTCCTTCCTTCCTTCCTTCCTTCTTTCCTTCTTTCCTTCTTTCCTTCTTTCCTTCCTTCCTTCTGTCCTTCAAGAAACATGAATATTTGTGTGTTTTTCCATTTTATTGCAGTGAAATATGCACAATACTTATAATTTTAACCATTTAAAAATTTACAAGTACATTCGTGATTCTACGTGCAGCCAGCCATGACCACCACCATCAATCTCCAGAACTTCCTGATCGTCCCAAGTGAAAACGTTTTATAAACTATATATGTAAAGGTGGCTCAGTCAAGAATGCACAACCTGCCGTCTTCCCTGGGCAGCCACCTCATGCCTTCACCACTCAGCGTCTGCTCTGTAGTAGTCCATATGGTAGATACAAAAATGGAGACCACAACCCTGCTGGTGAGTCCTCGTAATCTCTGTGACACTGGCACCCCGTGCAACCTCAAGTCATGGTAAAGAAAGCATGAAAGGCTCTGGCTTGAAGGAATGCAAGTTTTACTTATTCTCCTTCCAAAGGGAAATGGGAGGAGCATCTATCTTGGCTCTAGCTTCTCCCAGTTACTGAAGAATGTAGATTCTCTCTCTATCCTCCAGTGTTTGGTTTGGTCTCCTGCATGGGGAGACATGATGTGCTAATAACTATTATTTGCTGCATGCCATTTAGTTGACTCAGCTCTTTCTCTGCGGTCCCTGCTGTGAGAGAACAGCTGGGGTGCTCTTGTGCAGATGAGGAAGTGGGATCAGGCACCCAGCCTACCTAGGTTTTGCCCGAAACCACACAACTTTCATGCAGGTTCTTATTCTGAGCAGGTCTTTATGGGGCAGAGAAAGCTTTTGGGAGAGGCACAGTGGAATAGAGGGTGGTTCCACACCAAGAACAAAAAGAAATGGACAAGGAAGCATCTTCTCTATACAGAGGCAGGGAACCCAAGCAAAATTGAGTTGTTGAACAGCTTGAGGGTAATGATTGCCACTGGCAGCAACTGGGGAAGCTACAGGGGGTGCTGAGATGGAAAGCTTTGATAGGCATCATACTGTCTGAGAGGCGATGGAATCACAGCAGCTGGAAGGCTCCCCAGTGTGCTGTTTTAAAAGCCAGAAGCAGCACCTCATTTGAACCAGTGAAGCAAACCCTATGGGTCTGTGCAGGACAGAGAAGCACAGCAGTTCAGCCCCTGGGACCTGGGCTCAAGAGGAGCAGTTCTCCCAGGGGTGGGCCTTGTTCTCCAGAAATGATGCTCATCTGCTCCCATAAGGTAAAGATGCTTGCCAGGCACTGGGTCAAACACGAAGCCACAGAGATGGTTGCTCTTGCTCTCAGGACCTTGGACCTTTCACTCCTCAGAGCCCTGTGATTAGCACCATTACAGAGTATCCTAAGGGAGCTAGGACTACACTCAGGCACTCTGTGTTTGACCTGGTGCTGCACCTGCTCGGTGAATCCACCTCCACAGTCATGTCTCCATGTTCATTCTGAGTTCACATCTACATGTTTCAATTCTTGTTTCCAAGTTGAAAAAACAATGATCCCATTCTGTCTGTGTTCTGCCATTTCTGTTTAATAGTGCAGTCTTTTATGGGTGGTATTCATTTGCATAGGTCAGATGGATCCAGTCTTAATTCATGATGACGGGACAAGCTTTGCTGGTTCTAGGAGTCCTCCTTTGTAGGGAGAGGAGTCTCCCAGTGCTATGACAAGGGGCTGCAAACACTACCTCTGAATCTGAGCCAAAGTCTCAATGAGGTCCCAGCTTGAGAAAAGGTCAGCTCTTGGACCTGACTCTGCCCTGGCCCTAGGATGATAAATGATACAACGCTGCCTGAGTTCCTCAACTCTAAGCACTGCCTTGCCCAGCCTCCCAGCCTCCACCACTCCCAGCAATGTTCTCATAAGTAGGGCACTTTGATTAAATTGGCTCCACTGAGTTGTGTGAATAGTGGAGTTATGATCTTCTCTGTTATTGCTTTTGCTGGTAATTAATACCCCTATTAATAGAAACACCAACAGAGGTAGGAAAGGGGTATGGGAAGTTCACCCAGCACTTCTATGCTATCAGCCACTCCTTTCTATAAAGATGGAGGGAATGACCAGTAAGGTCAAACCTGTGGATTCTGTCTGGGCCTGGCTAGACTTTGTGCAGCCTCTCTCCACTTCCCAGAAGAAGTGGTTGCACCACCCTGTGGGTAAGTCCCAGAAGCCAGGCTGGGGTTTGGTCCCAGCCAGTGGCCCAGAACACTGGGTCTTGGGCTTTTCATGCATGTGTACTATAATTTCATTATAGGAGTAAAGTTCCTTTTACTTTTCAAGCTTCAGATGTTTGGATTAGTGGGAGCCCTATGTAAGGGTTTCTGGGCTCCCCTCACTTCCCCAAGGGACTGACACCTCCTTGGACACCTCAGCTCCACTGGGTGGTGTCCAGCCAGGAGACACTCAGTCCCAAAGGGCCCTTTCTGTTTCCAGATCAGAAGAGAGAAGGACTCTGGAGAGGAGACTAGAGGTGGGGCTAAGGAGGGAGACCGACTGCTAGCCGTGTTGTGTGGAGAAGAAGGAAAGAAGGAGGCACTGGCAAGCACAACTTGGTCAGCACCTAGGGCAGACTTAAGACTTTAAATCTAAGCTATTTATGTACATCCAAAGACTTAAAGGAACCCATGTATAAAGAAAAGAAGGAAGGATGAAAACAGAGCATTATAAAGAAGACACTATTAATAAAGACTAGGAAATGATGATGAGGAACCCAACAGAAATTCTGGAGTTGAAGGTACAATAAATAATGAAAATGAAAAGTTTACTAAAATTTACATAAAATTCATATTTGAAAAGGAAGAAAAATCAGTGAATTTAAAAGTAGGTTAATTAACCTCAGATGAAGAACACAAAGAAAAAATGAATAAAAATAATGAGCAGAACCTCACAAGTCAATGGGACACCATCAAGAATGTCATTTATGCATAATGAGAGCCCCTAAAAGAAAGGGAAGAAAGAATACAATAGAAAGAACACTTGAAAAAATTAATGACAAAAATCTCTCCAAATTTGGTGAGATTAATCTATCCATCCAAGAATCTCATCACACTCCAACTGGGATAAACTCAAAAGAGATCCACAGCTGGAAATATCAAAACCAAAGTGCTTAAAGCCAAGCACAAAGACTGAAGCAACTCGTCACATAAAAGCAGCCCTCAGTAAGACTAACGGTTAATTTCACATCAGAAATTTGGACACAGTCAAAATTTTAGACACAGATGTCAACCAAAAACTCTACAGCTAACAAAAATAACCTTGAGAAATGCAAGATAAAGTAAGCCATTCCCAGATATATAGAAACGAAGAGAGAACAAGTCTGCTCATTACAGCTTTTATCCAGATGCCCCCTCAAAGCCTCACGTGCTCATAGGTGGTGCTTTTGGAAGTGGCTGGATCATGCGTGTGTGATGCTGGGATTAAGGGTGTGTGGGTGCTTGCTGAATTAGTTCACTGATTGGCTTATCACAGTTGTGGGTGTGGACAATGGGAAGGCCCACCCTGGGTGTATGTGTGGGGCATCACCCAAAAGGCTTTGCCTGGATGGGATAAAAGGGAAAGGGATGTTGGCTGTTACACTGTTTTGCTGCCTTCTGCTTGTTCCCTGCGATGCCCCTCTGCCATGCTGCTCTGCCTTGGAGCCACTTGACTGTGGACTGAAACCTCTACAAACTGTGAGCTGAAACAATTTCCTTTAACTTGTGGGTACTGGATATTGTCTCTCAGGGATGAGAAACTACGACAGCCCTATAAGAAATACTAAAGGAAGCCAGTTCTTCAGGCTGAGACAAAGGCCACCAGGTAATAATCCAAGTTGATATGCACACAGAAAGAGCACTGGCAAAAACAACTGTATAGTTAAACATAAAAGACAGTATAATTTTTTTGTTAAAATTCCTTTGTTCTCTATCATTAAAAGACCACTGCATAAAACAATAATTATAATTCTATGTTGATAAGCTTGAAATGCGTGATGATGTAATTTGTAACAATAACAACATAAGGGAGGGAAAATGAAACCACACGGGAGCAACATTTTTATATATTTTTAAAATAAGTTGTTATTAATTCAAACAGACTGCTGATAAATTGAGATATTAATGGTAATCCTCAGAGCAATCACCAAGAATATAGGTAAAAATTATACAGTAAGTAAAATTAAAAAATTAAAATGGTTCACTAGAAGAATATATATATATATATATATATATATTTTACAAAAGAATGCAGTAATGGAAGAATACAGAAATAAAAATGATGATTATGTGTAGAAAATAAACAGCAAAACAGCAGATTTAAATCCTGCTTTAGCAACTGCATTAGATGCAAACAAATTAAACTTTCCAATTAAAAGAGAAATTGAAAAAAACAGGTTTTTAAAAGTGATCTAACTATATGCTGTCAACAACAGACTCAATTTAGATTCACGACACAAATAAGCTGGAAATAAGTGTAAATGATACACTAGGCAAACAGCAACGAAAAGGGGCTATGATAACAAGACAAAATGGACTTTAAAACAAAAGTTGATACTGCAGACAAAGGAGGGCACCTCATAATGAAAAAGACCCAAGACATCCCAAACACGTCCCTGTTGCAAGTATATCTGAAAGCAAGCAAGAGTCTCTAAATGCATGAAGCAAGCAAGGTCTCTGATGGAGAGGAGGCAGCTCCATCTTAAATATGTAACCTCCATGACCACTGTAGTGTTTATTATTTAACCCTCTGGACGCCTTCATTCTGGTTAGTTTTGCCTCCCTTAGAGTTCTTTGTTAGTAAGCAAATACAGCCTTAGAGCCACCATTTGGTGAGTACCTCCGCTGAGATGGGTTTAAGATCCTCCAGAACTGTGACTGCTTGGGGCAGGAACAAAGGGTCCAGCGTTTTTAATGGAGCACATATACATACCTTGGAGAGGACCCAGGAGGACAGCAGGGAGCCCAAGACTTGGTGCAAGTCCTAAGGACAGGAAAGAATACAGGACAAAGAGGGAGAACTAGGATGTACAGGGAACAGAAGACCCTAATGAGACTGCAGGGAAACACATGTGCCACATGAGCTGAGCCTAGTCATTGGCGTGGTGCTAGAGCTCTTGTACCAGCAACACTTGGCTAAAGGCAAGTGGCAAACCCCCAAAAGAGCATAAGAAACTACCCTGCGGGAGCAGGGCAACAAGTGGCTATGAACGAGAGCGTTTGCCACTCACAGGTAAACAGCCAGAGCCATCCTGAGGTCTGAGCTGCTGTCTGCATCCTGGACAAGGTGGGGAGTGGATCAGGGCTGAAATCAAGTAACAGGTTCTGCCAGGATGTGGGCACTGACAGGAGAGCCAGGAACAAAGGGCATGAGGCCAAATGGTGAGGTCAAATCTGAGCTCAGAACCTTGCAGATAGGCCAAGCAGAGAGACGCTCAAAAGAGGTGGTGTCTGTGAATGGACTCGGTTCAGGTAGATGCTTGCTAAATGTTAGCTGGTTCCCAACCTAAAAACCAAAGCAAGGCAAGTAGACCGGACAGCAACTCAGTGCTGACCAAAACATACACCTGCTTATTGGCACCTATGAGGTTCTGAGTACTGTGGTAGGTACTTTACATCCGTTATGTCCTTTAACATTTGGGATGCCCCGGGGGAGGTATATGTTGATACCTAGACTGTGGATGAATGGACAGCTCAGTTAGATGACTGGCTTGAGATTGTTATAGCAATGCAAATGGGACAGAACCAGAAGGCTCTTCTGGGCATCCTGCTAGCCACTGGGCCAAGGTTACCTCCAGGGTGGCTCTGATCAACCTGGTGGCTTAAATGGATAGGAGGGAGGAGACAAGGGACTTCTCAGAGTTCCCCTGAAGCCACTGTTCTCCACTCTTCTACAGTGAGGCTGCAAAAGGAGGCAGCAGAAGCTCCCCAGAGGCCTGGCCTGAAGACAATCCCTGTAGTCTCCTGAAACTGGTGGAGGTCTTACCCTCTCTTCCTCTGCCAGGCCTTTGAAGAATGGTGGCATTTACCCCCCCACAACAGGTAGCAGGGTTGCCGCATGACTTGCAAACTCTTGAAGGCATTTTATAAATGGGAAAATGCAACCCGAGGCTGGGACAAGTTATGGGGATAAAGATGTCTGAGTATTTAGGGAGCTCCAGGTAAAGTCTGCTTACCCATAATCCCAGTTCCATCTCTGTGTTTGGTCAGAAGCAGAGCAGCTGATCTATGACCACCCTGGTTTCCCCCTGCCCTACACACACACACACACACACACACACACACACACACACATACACATTCCTGCCATAGCCCTTGATGAGGCCATCACTACTGCCCTTCCTTTAGGACAAGAGTTTCTTAAAAGTTCTCACAAACCTTGTACGGGAACCTGGAGTCAGTCAATGATGGAAAATGCATACACCACCATTAGTAATTCAGCAGGAAGCTCCCAAGTGTGGAATAACCCACCTGCACTGTGATGGGAGAGGGCACCAGACCTTCAGACACTCACCTCATGGGTTTCTGGTCCCTGCAAGTGTGAGGGAAGAGAGAGACAGAGATAGAGAGAGACAGAGAGAGACGAAAGACAGAGACAGACACAGAGAGCGAGAGAGGTCTGCAGAAAGGAGGTGCCTCTTGCCTGGTGACCCTTTGGGGCTGACTCTTTCTGGGGTCTGGGGAGGAGGCTTGGAAATACCCCTAGGAACTCTAGTTAGTGGCCTCTCCTCTGTCTGGTTGTGTGTGGGTTGTCTTCAGCCATCTGCTTGGGGCCTGACCTCAAGACATTCTTACTGTCTTCTGCTCAGCGTGCCCAGACACTGGGGTCTGGAACCCCCGCCTTCCTGGTGGCACCTGGGCCTGCAGTCCAGAACTGCAGTTGTTATGGATCTTGTGATCTTTTTATCTGGTCTCCTACCCAGGACAAGCATGAATGCCCTTGCCTGCACCCCAGCTCCCATCCAGTGATGCCTGGGGCACTCCAGTAGTAGAAACAGCCCCCCTCCAGTGGAAGGACTCTCATGGGGACCCAGATCTTTCCCTCTGTCCGAGCAGCCTGTGTCAAAGCCAGCAGCTACACTCTAGTCACTTTTCAAAACACCAGCAAAGTGCCAACATTACAGAAGAATACATTCTACTGCAAAAATGGAAATAAAACGAAGTCAGTAACTATGGCCCTACTGCTGGGCCACATTGCCTGCATGTCAATCTCCTCCATTAATCATCACGCATGATTTTTCAGAGCTATTTTGAGGCACTTTAGAACATAGCTTTATATAGCTGTCTATACCTTACTTATACCCTCCAGGGATGGTCGCTCCCTTTAGCAGCAGATGGTTTTCCCCCTTGTTTTCTCTTCATCTCTTAGTCAGAGTTAAGTAGGAAGAAAGTCGACTCCCTAACTCCAGACATAAATTGTCACCCTTAGCTCAGCCTGGAGTCAAGGTTGTCACTGGGGGTGGGCAGAAAAGGCTGTGGGTTCGTTGGGAGGCACTGCTCTAGAGACCCAAAAGGAGACAATCCGTGGGCATGGTGACCACCAGGAGGCTACTCTGCGGCTTTGGATAGAGGAGGAGCAGAGGCTCTGGGCAGAGATTTGCTTCTTTCAACAATTCAACCCTGTCAAGGTCCACGAAACAGGTGCCAAGAGTACCCTTTTGACCTCTGGAGAATGGGGGTCAAAACAAGAGAAGCAACTCTGGCATCACCCAAGTGGTGCATCTTTGGCCTCCAGGAAGCAGCAAGTTGGCCCAGTTGCCATGGCAACTGCAACAGAACTGCTCCTAAGGGCAAGGGGAGAAGGGAGGCAGAGAAGGCACCTGGTGGTTTTTCTGGAAAGGCCCACCTGTTTCATTCCCCCAAGAAACCAAGCTGGAGGGGAAAGAAAGGAATGGACTCTGGGCATCTAGGAGAGATGCTTGATAGCAGCAGGCTGACCCACTGGCTTCCCTTCCTCTAGGGAAGGCAAATCCCCAACAAAGACAGAAGTCTGGGTGGGCCTTGCCAGGGGCTGTGGCACAGGAGCCCATCTGCAGGGTCAGAGCAGCCCTGCAGGCTGGGGCTGGGGGTGCCCAGTCCTTGAGGGCCTCCTGTCATCCACAGCAGGATTTCTTCTTGGTGGGACGGCAAACTTGAATAGTGTCCTCTCTCACTGTGTCTTCCTGTTCTTTGAGGAACCTGGAAAAGGGGAAGGGACAAGGTCAGCTGTGGAGAATCTGCTAGGCTCAGGAGCCCAGCACCCTCAGAGGGAGGCCATCAGAGCGATGCAGAGAATACTCACAGAGTCAGACAGAGCGCTGAGTGCCTCCCCCTGGGCAGTGGAGGGCGTAACTAGTTGTAAGGCCACAGGTTAGTCAACATGGATCCTTCGGACACCTCTTCCCTGAAGCCTCCTCATCTACTCTCTTTTTGACCCAAGTGTCCCTGATTGCACTCTGACCTTTGTCCCTACCACTCAGCATCGCAGTGCACTCTCCTTTAGCTTTCTCTCTCACCAGAGCGTGAGCTGCTTGAGGGCAGAGACAGTGCCTTTGTCTCTGAGTCCCACATCCTATTGCAGTTGCTGGCACACAGGCTTGTGACACAGGTTTATCCATTGTTAACTTCACAGGCCTGGGCCTCATGGCCACAGATCCAGATTAAATGTAGGAGGCAAAGGAATAAAACAATGTTAAGCATACTACCTGCTTTATGTCTTTGTAGCACTTTCACCATATGGCCCCCCCCCCGACCTTCACAAGCACCTGATGGGACAGGAAAGGTCAGCTTGGTGTTCTGACAGGCCCAGTGAAGCACTGAGTCTGTATCAGAGAAAAGCCTCGGACTTTCTCCCTTAACCCTGATCTCTCTGCTACACACAGTTGTTCTGTTTTCTTAATTTTTGGTTAGACAGGGTCTTAAGGAACAAGTCTTTCTGTGTGACCTGTTCTTCTAGCATCCTAACTGTGGAGACCTCTGACTGATTCTCGTTCCTAGCCCTGCCTTATCCTCTCCTCAGGAGACCCATGCTTGTTCCCAGCTGGTTGCTTAATAATCCCTGCTAAGATACTAGGTACAGTGTTGAGGGACCTCCAAGAGAACCTTTCCTAGGGTTCCTGCAAAAGGCCACCTGTAAGACTCACAGATGAAGGAGGATGACCAGCAGGGAGCTTCTTCATCATCACTGCTGTGCTTCAGAAGCCTGCCCCTGATGGCTGACATCCCACACAGAGGTCTGGGCCACCCAGCCTGGATTCACAGTGCTGGGGAACACAGAGAGGGAGGCCCAGGGCATGGTCTGGGCAGAAGGGATGTAGTGCATCCAGCAGGCCTGGCACAGCTGGGCTCAGCATGTGCATTGGCCTGTTGCATGAGTCTCCTTACCTGGCTAGGTGGAGCAGGGACTCTTTGGTGTTGTGACCAGAACAGGCACTGCACTCATAGAAGATCATGTTGTTCTCCTAGAATCATAAAACAGGAGCTAGCGGGAGGGTACTGGAGAGCTAGAGGGACCTGGAGGGATGCCCTGTCTGCCTCCTCCTAGGGCCTCACCTGCTGTCACAGACCCTTTAGCTCCTCAACCCTGTCATTACTCTGGCTCTGGTAATTTTCTGGCCCCTCAGTTCCCTGTCTGATGCTCCGTTTGTAAGCACCCAGGTGAGTCATAAGGATCGTAAGACAACCCTGCACAGCCTGGCTCCATTTGCAAGAATGCGCACACTTTCTGAGTCTCGCAGCCCTGGGATGGAGCCAGAGACACACAGGCCATATAGACTATATTCTTCCCACTTCTCAGGCAGGGAAACTCAGGCCAGTGCTGCACACGGCTGGCCTGCTCTGGTCATGCAGTTAGTGAATGGTAGAGCTTGCAGCAGCATGCTCTGCCCAGGACCCTGGAGCTCCGGGGACCCTGGCAGATGTCACAAGCCCTAGAGTTGGATTCTCCTTCATGCCAGTTAATGACTACCCCAGCTGCCAGGCTGTCAGAGCACACACACAGGACAACTGTCCCTCGCCACACTAGAGGGAGGCTGCACTGTGTGCACGGGCCCTGGGCCAAAGCTCTCTGCAGTGCATTTATCACTTCCGTTAACGGATTGCTCACTCCGTGATAGCAATGCTGATGGCACCAGTTCCTGCTCTGAGATGCTCTTTCCTTGGAGGTTGAGGTCTTGGAGGGCTAGGGCCACCTGAGGGAGAATACTTCAGCAGTCATGGTTCCAACACTGTTTGCAACCCAGCTGTCTCCACGCAGAGCCACAGGCCCCCTCATCCTCTGCCCCGTCACCTCCCCGTGCATGTGCGGTCCAGCCCCAACTCTGGGACCATCTGTCAGACTTCCTGGGTGGGTCAGGGCAGGAGCGTACAGCAGTCACTCAACTACCATCTCAGTGTTTTTCTCATGGATTGAAAAGAGAAAAAGAGAAGATGGGATATAATATAGGTCTGTATTTCCTCAGCTAAAATCTTTGGATCTAAATGTCTTTGGGAATTCAGAATTTTTTTAGTTATAGAAAGATAATACATATTATATAATACCCTCAGAAGGTCTGGGATGCCACCTTATAATCAAATACATTCATATTTCTTCAGTGAGACACGAATGTTCATGTACAGTGCAGTTAAAACCATATAGGCTTGTGTCAGTTCTGGTCAGACTTCCCTGCCAAATGAAATATACAAGAACCTTTCTCTCTTTGGGGCATTTGGATCTCAGAACTGCAGACACATCCACCTGATGACCTCCACACAGACACCTGGCAGGCTCTTCTTCATCCTTTGTCCTTGAATCTCATCATCTGTGAACTTCTCCAAAACTCTGATGAGCCCAAATCCCTGTTTAGGGCAAATGCAGTAAGAATTGCAGAATTTTGGGGCTGGGGAGCACCCGTCTTATCATGGAGATACACAGCTCCATGAAAGAGAAGCCCGAGAATAAGCTTTGTCTTGTTGCCTGGCTTCCACGAAGCCCTACTGGTCCATTCCTGGCCAGAGGCTGATGTTATTTTTACAGTAGGCTTTCCCAGTGCCTCCCCTGAGTTTATCTTGAGTTCACACCTTCAAAGCACCATCTTGAGAGAAACAATGATTCTCTAGCAGAGTGGCCCAAGGAGGAACAGAGTGGCCCTGTGGGTAGTGAGATTTTCATCCTTGAAGGTAATCAAGTGCAAATGCAGATGACACAGAGAAGGGACTGAAATACATAACCTCTTACTATCATATATATAATTCTGTGTCCCAAGAAACAAAGTTTAGGATAATTTCCTACACCTAGTGGATCCCGAACAACCCCATCTTGGGACCTGTGTCTTTCTTCAAGCACAGGAGCCAGGACTGCCTGGGAGTTCCCAGCCTGTCCAGAGAAAAGGAAGGCCGATGCTTTACCTTGGCAAGCTGCTCCCCCAGGCCCCGAGGAACTTCTCGCTCCTTCTCATTGTCAAGTTTATTACCCAGCAGAAGAACAGGAACACGGTCTCCCACAGCCTCCTGCAGAACAGATAATCCCCCAGCTGAGGAAAGGCTCCATAAGGAGAGCCCAGAAGGACGGGCTTAAAATGTTGGCTGCTGTGGTAAAATCTGGTTTGCAAGTCCTCTGCCGGCACACAGGAGGGAGAGCTGCCTCCTGCAAAAGCCTCAGTTTACCATACTTCTGCATGATGCCAGAGGCCTCTGGCTGCCTCCTAGTCCCCATTAGGGCAACAACCACTTCCCCCCCTGCTCTTTCCTTGGTTCTTGGGTGGACATGCAGGCTCCCCAGCTATCCTGGGGTGGAGGTAGCAGGAAGGGGGGACAATGGACACTGATGAACACTGCATCCTTTTCTAGGGCTTACAGTGCCCCCTGTGGCATGCTCAAGTGACCATGCTTGTGGAATGAAGCACGGAAATTAGCCCGGTTTGGAACTCTTCTGTAGAATACTTGGATTAGAAGTGGCATCTCCAGAGGCCTCATAATGGCACACAGGCTCCGCGAGGGCTCGATCAAATCTGACTCATCACATGGGATCCACAGACCTCCATACAGGACTGCTGAGTGCCTAACGAGGTGGGCGCCACAGACTTGTGCCACTGCGAGCCCAGGCTCTGAAGGCAGCTGCATGAGCGAGACCCACGAGGCTACAGCAGCCGCCTTTGCTCGGCCAGAAGCCATGGGTTCACTCGCAGCATCAGTTCTGTTCATTCCGGCTCAGCTGGGACACATCAACCAGGGGCCCGTGTCCTGGAGTCTCTGCCTGTTCCCGGAAAGGGGTAAAACGTGCCTCTCCTGGAGGGGAACAAAGGCCCAGGACTGGCAGCTGTTCAGTGTGCAAATATGGTAACACTCACATTTTAAAAGGCTGTTATTTTTACTTTGTGAAATATTTAATTAGGAGCTTTTTATCATAATTTGGTAACTAATAGTTACTCACTCTAGCTAAATGTTTTACTAAATAGAAGGGACTGTAGAATAACAGAACTTTACAAGCAGTTAGTTTTGCTAATACTTTAGCTACTTTGCCTCAGCACTTCAAATAAATGTCTGAGGTCCACCTGACAGGAACACCTATTTTAAATTTAAATGCAATTACCTTTAAAATTAAAGCCTCAAAGTTTCCTTAATCTGCACATTCATTTTTACTGCAGTGCAATGGTAGAAAAAAATTCTCATTTACTAAATGAGAACATTAGGGTCAGAGAACCCAATAACAGAATCACTAAGGTACAAGGCCCTGTCAGCCAATAGGTCCACAATTCCACCCCTTTTATCTGGATTCTTATTTCCTATGACCACTCTACCTCCTAGCATCTTACTAAACAGAACGCTCTAAAAACAGCATCCATTGCTAAGATGGGAATTAACATTCTCAATGATGACTCAGAGCCCCTCCAAGATCTCAGTGCCTTCTTCGGACCTACTGACAATAAATTAAATTACATGCACTGCAGTTATGTGTAAAGTAGATTGTAAGTGAAAAATTCACCACTGTGGCTCCCTATTAGCCAAAGAGTCAGCTAATGGGAGTCTCCCCATTTTCTGACTGTGCCAGGTGACTGAATACTTGTGCAAAGAATTTTTCACAGAAAAGGAAATGAAGAAGAAGCAGGGAACTGGGCCAAAGGCTTGCTGTTTAGAGCACATGAGAAAGATATATTTGTATGCTGATGTGTGAGGAATGACTAAGGCTTGTGCGATTTCTTGACATGGAAATTCTCTGAAAATATGAGCATCAGACTTGAAATCTCAGGACAGAATTTGAACCGGATTTTGTTTTCACTGGGAAGGGGCCATGGCTGTGGTTCCTGCCCCTGCGGAGGGGATGACGATACTGAGAGACCCAGAGGGACAGGGCGGGGTTCGAATTGTAAGTCTAACATCTGGGCCTTGTGTACCACAACAGCAGTGCTGCCTTTCAGGAAAGGAGGCAGTCTTCTTCTTTCTTTTAAAAAGTAATTTCTAGATATAAAAATAAAATACAGCAGGAGAAAGCAAAACACCCAGCTTGAGTTATGGTTTCTGTTGTTTGTGTTTTTCCTCTCTTACACAACCACTCTGGGCAATTTGCTTCCCCTCTGTGGGCCTGGCCTGCTATGGGTAAAGGAGAATGAAGCCTACTTCCAGAGGAATGGCAAAAATGAAAGAGAACACACATTAAACCAGAGGATGTGCTACCTATCACAGGAAGTCGGTCCTTGACACCCTGGCCCAAGGTCAGCCTCTGACACAGGGGCAGAGGGATAGGCTGGGTAGGCATGTGGGTCCCCGTGGTCCCCTCCAGCCCTAAAAGTCTTGAACTATCTGCCTAAATGCTGTACATTTCCTACCCATCACTAGGTTTTTGGCCCACTGCTACTCGCCACAGGAAGGTTCCTAATTACCCACTAGGTTACACATATTTCCCCTTTTCTTTCCGGTGTTGGAGATGGAACCCATGATCTCTTGGATGCGAGGCAAGTACTCTACCACTAAGCCACACCCCAAGCACAATACTTCCTCTTCAAAGTCCAAAGCATGTCTCTTTCAAGCTTCTGGGGTTTTGGTGAAAAAGCCTGATTCACTCAACCTCTGCTATTAATATTGTTATAGATGTTGGTAAAAATTCCAGAAATGTGACAGACCAGAATGACACATGACCTCTTCTTAGGAGACTTGGGGTGTGCTTTGGCTCTGTGACCATCTGTTCACATGACTCATCTGATTGCTCTTCTCCAAATCTCTAATTCCTGATCTGTAAAATCAGCTTCTAGAGCTGTTTTCTCTTCTAGGACCTTTTGTCAGACAACCCTCTCTACACCTTCAATCACTTTAGTTGCCTTTTTCTGAACTTGAGCTTGTTGGAAGACAGATTTGTTGAAATTCTAAAGATTACCCATCTCTGACTTTAAATAACTAGAGCTGTCAGCTTGGAGCTTGGGATTGGCATTCAGCTCAGGATGTGCAGCTGTTGGGCTGGGTGAGTTGTAGGGTGTGTGTGTGTGTGTGTGTGTGTGTGTGTGTGTGCGTGTGTGTGCGTGCACACGCGCGCATGCACATGTTAATATCTATTTGCTGAGAGGCATGAAAAAGCACTTAGCTGAGATGGTGCTGCTATTTCTCTGGAACCAGAACAAAAAATTTCTCAGCACATTAAAGCATGCCATTATGCTAAGAAAAAAAATGACTGCAAAATTATATCTTGGGGGTTTCCATATTTATCCACCCCCTGGACTATGAGTCAAAACAAGATTTATTTGTGCAATGCATTTCAAACTGCTAGCACTTCAAGCTCAACTTGGAATGTGGGAAAAAATCAAACTGCTATTTTTTGCTCTGTGCTGTACATTGTCACTGAGGACAAAGATCACAGAAAGAGATTTAGTTCGCAGCACAGGGAAGGGAGCAAAGTGGGCCAGAACCCCTTGAGTGGCTCAGCACTGAGACTAGAGCAAGAAGGACTGAAAAGAAGATGAACACCTGTTTCTCAGCAGGAGATTTCAGCCATAGGCCACGTGGCAGGACAGAAGCACAAGGCAATGATGGAGCCCTGGATTCTGGTCTGACCAGGCCACTGACTAGGGGTAGGCACTAGGGGTTATTTCCTCTCTGCAGATCTCAGTTTTCTCACCTAGTGAAAAGGGTTCACATAAAATTAATCTCCAGTTTTTCTTCTAGCTCAGGACATGGGTTTATCAGACATATTGGTGTCTCTGGCTTAACCATCCCAGTTATGCTCTGCCCCCTCAGCTTATAGGCCTAATGGTGTAGTGCTACCAGAATGACACAGAAGATGAAAATAAGAACTTCTGCATCCAAGAATGCAGACCTCAGGGGTCAATAATCTGGATTCAGGGGAACTATGAGTCTACACAGGCTTGGACTCAGTTCTATTATCTCTACCTGATACAGGGCTTAAAATCTTCAGATGTCTTGTTTGTCTCATGGTCTTAGTGTGGGACTCTCACAGCCCAGCCAGTTTCTTCTGGGGTGGTGGAATGGCTGGACTAGCTCCAGGGAGTGGAGAGGAGAAGGGGGTGGGTGGCAGTGCAGTTGGCAGGGATGGCTGACTGCTCTTACTTCCTATCCCAAGCACAGAAAACCAACACAGATGTGCCTGGGAGCAGCTCGGGCCTCTTCTGCAGAAGGCCTGCAGGTGAAGCTGCTGATATGGGGTGTGGACTGGGTAGGGTTGAGTAGACTAGTCCAGAGGGTAGGACCCTGCCACCCCATCAGACAGGGCAAGTGTGATGGTTTGAATGAATTTGTCCCCAAGGGTTGGCCTGCTTCTCAATATGCTGATGTTGGAGGTGTGACCTCCACAAGGGGAGGCCAGGGGAGGGCCTTAGGTTATTGAGGTGCTTCCTTTGGAAGGGCTTAAGGTGGTTTTCATGTGACCTTGCTTATTTCTTGGAAGAGTAAGCCAGCCCCTCCCCACCCCTGTGGCTTCTGGTTTTGTACTTCAATCTCTTCCTCACAAACACTTCTTCCATGGTGGGATCCACCACGCTGTGACACAGACAAGAGACTCTCACTAGAGCCAGGCCATGCAGGCTCCTGTGCTCTTGATTCACTGGTACTGTGAGTGAAGTAAACTTTCCTTCATAACTAGCTTTCCTTGTGTATTTTGTTACAGTAACAAACAACAGACTAACACTGAAGGTGTGCTCTTGGCTCCCTTTGAGCTGGAAGGATCTCTGAGGGTACTACCATTCACGTACTCCTGCTCCTTCAGGGTCCCTTGAGAGAGTTCAGTGCCAGAAGGAGCCTTTCAGAGTGTTTGCTCCATTCACTCCTCGTATGATTAGCCAAAGTTCAATGGCAGAAAATGGCTGAGTTGGCATGGCAAGAATTTCCTTCCAGGGACTCCACTGCCTCCCCCAGCATCTGTTCCCACCCCACACAAGCTGATCTGAGAGTCTTTCCCATGTATGGCAATTTCAGCTCTTTTTTCTTGTGCTGCTTTTCAGGTTGAGAAAGAAAGGGGCACTGAGAACAGCCGGCCACCATTCAGTTAATAATAAGGCTTCAGAACTATGAAGACTATTATTAAAGCTTCCCTTCCACCCTCCTTCCTAGGCGAGGGAGTTGGTAAAGTGCTTGGAGCTCTTTGGAAAAATAAGGTGCTCCACAAATATAAAGTACTTATTATTTTCAGTTCCCCTAAGATCAAATTAGATGTCAAGTTTTAATCTATCACCTGACACCTCCGATTGCTGGTTGCCAAGGTGGAATGACTTAGCTTTTCAAGAATCAGGAGAATAATTGCATTTCTGATGCCTCTGTTCCACACCTCAACACACATGCCACCATCTGACATAGCCTCCCACACTTGCTCTGGAAACCCTGTGCCACTGAGCTGAATTCATTTCCCAGTCCATCATCCAGGTCCCCCAGGCTGCCTAGTGAGTGCTGGGCTTGTGGGTCAAGCTCAGCAAATTTCTGGTGAGGGATCATGGATATCTTTGAAAATGACTCACTGCCTTCCTACTCTAAGGATGGCCCTTGGATGAGTAGCACTGGGTTCACCTAAGAATCTGTAAGAAATGCAAAACCTTGCCACCCCTGCCCAGATCTGCTGAATCAGTCCAAATTTAGACAAAGCTCCAGAAGACTCCCAGGTACATTGGAGTTTGACCCCTTGTTTAGGCTGGAAACCATGGTGGCTGAGACTTAAAATCACCTGAAGAAATTTAACTTTTTTTCCTAGGCCCTGAATCCTTCTAATTGGGAGAGAGGGTCTTGGTGCCAGTCTTATTCAGGTGACTCTCATGTTTACCCAGGGTGAGAATCATTACTTGAGAGTTTATATCTTCTACTAAATTTTTTTTAAAAAAAGAAAAACTCAAACTGCAAATTATCCACACCTACTGTTTTGGTTGAAATATGAAGGGTCTCCTGAAGTCCCCAATTGATCCCTAAGGCAGCAATGTTTAGAGGTGGGGCCTAGAGATGTGATGAAATCCTGGAGGCACTAACCACACTGACAGATTAATCATGATGAGTTCATAGCCAAATGGACCATTGGGAGAAAGTAGGTCACTGGGGATGTGCCTTTGAAGGGTATATCCTGTTCCCAGGACCTTCTTCTCTCTGGATCCTCTTGCTTTCTCTGCTTCCCGGCTGCCATGGTTTAAGCAGATTTTCTCTGTCATACCCTTCCCCCATGCTGTTTCTGTCTTGGAACCAGCTTCCCATGGACTGAAGCCTCTGGAACCATGAGCCTTTCAGTTGTGTATTGCTGAGAACCAGCTTGACATGGTACAGAACAGGCAAAAATTAATATTAATAAATAAATTGAGTCTGTCCTAGGACTACATGGCTTATGGCAAGGACCCCTCTCCCCGTTGGCTTAAGGATTGATTAATCTTTAAGCCAACGGCTAGAGCCAAGGCTAGTAAATAGTCTGTGAAGTTCTAACACCTCAAAGCAAGATAACATGGCAGCTGAGGACTTTAACTTGTGTACACTCTGTCTAGCTCAATAATTGTAGTTAACAGACAATCGGGGTACTAGTTAACCCTGATCTATTTCTGTGTGCTTTTCTAAAAATGCATTGTTCCTCAATTCTTGAACCTTGACCACATCAGCAATTCACCCCCACCACTTCCTGCAGCTCACCAGCACATCCCCTAATCAAACTGTACACCTAATAAAAGCCAAAGGCACCACGACTTGTGGTCTTAGCCCATCATTGGACTTTGAACATTCTGGTACCCTTTGTGTATATATTTTATCTGTGTTTTATTCTGTCATAGTACCTCTGAGCAGGAGATCAGTGGTCCAAGGCCAGGGCCCTGACAGTATATGTCAGGTACTCGGTGACAGCAATGAAAAGCTGACGAATTAGCAGAGTTCTGAGTTAGCCATGTATGGGTTAACCCCTCTGGGTGCTCTGAGCCTTCCCTGGGCATCTTCCCAGGCACATGCTGATGGTGCTGTCTGTCTCATTCCATGAAGGAACAGGCAGATATCCACTGCTCAGTAACAGTTGCCTATAGTGACTACTCCAAGCCGCCCTCTGAGATTTCTTCATCTCTACCAAGTCCAACTGGATACTCTCTCTCTTGATCCCAGGTCCTCTGTGGAAACAGGAGACATAAAAACTATACCCCTAATAATAGCAGAGCGCACAGTCCTGCAAATTTGTTTCTATCTACCTCCATTACTTCTGGACTGCCTCTACCCAGTTCCAAGATATATCATAATTTAGATGGCAGACAATTGAATATCTGTGGCTGAGAAAAGAATGGGTGGCCTTGAAGAAGTTATGACCCTGATTTCTTCATTTTAGATGAAACCAGTGTGCTAGATTATGCTAAATTGGGATTTTCACAGGGAAACTCCTTTGCCTAGTAAAACGTACCTGTACCCTCAATATGCACAACTGAAAGAAGCCAAGAAGATCTGATGACAAAAAGGGATGAATACTCATAGCTGAAGTCACTAGACATTCCTGCCCTGCCCTACTCTCAGGGAATATGTATCAGCTTCCAAGGCTCCAGAGACAAGAGTGTGAAAACTATGGGTTAAGGGATCCCTAATGCTCCTCCTAGTTCTGCCAACAAGAAGGAAGGAAAGGAAGACCAGCAGGATGAGGAGGAGGGGATGACAGAGAAGGGAAGGGAAAGAAAATCACATCATAAATTCCACACTGTAAACAGGAATTGCCACATTTATCCATACCACTTGCTACTCTTAATAGTCTGGTGCAAAGATAATCCACTGTATTTCAAAACATACAGTTTTGCATGTGTAAGGGTTTTATGCAAAGTAATTTTGAGAAATAATTTGCATTAAGTAAATTTCTGAGTTACTCTTAAATCTGGTTTCCATTCTTTCTCTTATTTTTCTTGGTAATAAGGATGCAGATTAATAGCAGAGAGTGGCCCAGCTAAAGTGACACAAAAACAGATTTTGGTGGGAAGAATCAGGTCTCAAGGCCAAAGGGATGAAGAGATCAGCAACTCCAGTGAACATCCACTTACATATCTGGATCAGCTGAGCACCGGTAGGCAGGGCCCCTGCCAAGCATCTGGGTTACAGTGACAAACATGTGGCTTCAGTTCTCAGAAGGCACAGGGCCCAGTGGGGGACACAGGTGGGTAAGCATATGAGTTACAACAGAGCCATAAGCAGGTGACGGGTCTACAGCAAAGGTTGAAGATAAGCCTTATGGGGGCAGAAGTGTGTCTCCTTTGTCTGCTGTATAATTCCCAGGCCCTAGAGCAGGGCCTGGCAGTGTTCTGAACAAATACAGAATGAATGATGGATCCTGCTGGGGGAAGGCAATGGGAAGTCCTACTTGACTGCTTTGTAGAGGCAATACATGGCTTGTCTATGCTGCCTTTGACCTTGCGAAGCCTGCATCAGGGTAGTAGAGGAACAATGTGTTTGGGCAAGAGGTCGTTGGCCCTCTCAAAGCAACACACTGCAAGCATGAACCAAGCAGGTAGAGCCTCACACTTAGCCCTGGACTTGAAGAACGCAGCTGCTCAGTGCCCTTGTAGGCCTTTGGACTTGGGAGGAGCCCAAAGGTGCATATTTATAGAATGACCTCCCCTGGAGGGTGTGTGAGGGCTGTGAAACAGGCCTCAAACTCTGCACTGAGAAGCTACTGGGCAGGGCACAGCCGGGAGCACTGGCACCTGCAAGATGCGGGGCTGAGCAAGGAGTGGTGAGAATGAGGACAAGCTCCATTGTGACTCAATTTGAACACTGCTCTCTTCTCAGGGGAACCTCATGGGCACCCTGCTCTGCACCTCTACTCCAGTCTACCCTTGCCTCACTCACAGTAATCGTAATGGCACAGTTACAGGAAGTAGTAGTCCCCTTCCTGCTGCCACAACTGAACACCGCAGTGTGACTAGTTTATAAAGGTTTATCTGCACACTGCTCTGAGCTTGGGGAGCTCAAGCTTAGACAGCTCTATCTGGTGAGGTTCTCTTCAGTGTGGTGAGGACTCTGCAGAGTCCCAGGGTGGCGCAAGGCATCACATGGCCAGAAAGAACATCCAGCTCAGGCCTCTCCTCTTGTACAGCCACAGCCCCTCTTGTTACGGCACAACCTTCACAGCCTCCTTTCTACACCACCCAAATACTGTAGTCAGATTAAGTTCCACCCTCTTCACACCTCACAGTAAGAGTCACATTTCAGCATGAGTCTTGGCTAAGGCCTTCAAACCACAGCACAGGCGATGTCTGTGTTTCTCTGTGCGGGCAGGGTCTGCACCAGCTCCTGACCCCCAGTCCCTAACCTGGTACCAGGCTCTCACGTGCACAGGCAAAAAACACCTGCCTCTGTTTGGTCCTGGGAAGGAGAGAGCCGGAGGGAGAGGGGCAGGACAGAGGGCCCGCAGCCGCTGGAAGGGGCCAGCTCACCTCTATGCTGCTGAGCCACTGCCGGACTGCCAGGAATGACTCCTTGGCTGTGAGGTCGTACACGATGATGACGCCATCAACCTTTCGGAAGAATTGCTGGGTGATGCAGCGGTACCTGCCCAGAGAGGCCACAGTCAGGCCTACAAGCCTTGCTTCCCAGCCCAGACCTCAGGGACAGCTCCTCACCTCTCCTGTCCAGCCGTGTCCCACAGCTGCAGGGCCACTTGAGAGCCATCCACATTCACCGTCTTCACTCGGTAATCAATTCCTGTCAGGGGGACCGGGCCTGTCATCAGGGCTCCCGGGGCTGGGGGCATCTTCACTTCTCAATCAGGAAGTGAGCCTCCCATGTCTGGAATCACGTCAGGCCCAGAGGAAGCTGTCCTCACGCCTCCCAGGAGGCGCTGCAGGGAGATGCACAGAGCGCTGGACCTGAGCTCCGGTCCTGTCTCCCACTTCCTTACTCTGGCCCTCATCAGTCACTCAGCCTATCTCAGCTGCAGGCTTCACACTGTGTTGCAGCCCGTGACCTCTTCAGTGACACTGTGTGAGGGCAAGTCAGAGCCCGTGCAGGAAGGCGATGTGCAGTGCAGACCACACTGCCCTTCACGGATTCATTTCTCACGGGAAAACTGAAGGGGGAGTGAAGATGCAGGCCAGTGTATCCCCTCCCTCTTGTACTCCCAATCTTCTCCCAATCTTCCTTCCTTCTCTTTTCCTCTCTCCCTCCCTCCCTCTTCTTCTCTCCTTTCTTTCTTTCTTTCTTTCTTTCTTGTTTCTTTCCTTCTTTCTTTCTTTCTTTCTTTCTTTCTTTCTTTTTCTTTCTTTCTTTCTTTCTAACTTTCTTTCTTTCTTTCTTTGTTTTTCTTTCTTTCTTTCTTTCTTTCTTTCTTTCTTTCTTTCTTTCTCTTTTGGCTAAAATCCTTTCAAAGTTCTCCTAATAAAATTCAAATATCCTGGGGGATGGGCCATGCTTTAAAACATCTGTAAGCCAATCTAAAGATGTGTGGAAGAGGAGAAAGGAGAGAGGAGGTAAGGGAGGGAACTAAATGTGGCATTTACCCTTGATGGGTTTAGAACCTCTAAGCCATCACAAGCATCTCTCTGAGGGTGACACACCCTGGGGTCATCTGCCCCAGAAAGAGGGACAAGGTCAATGACAGGCATTCTGGACCCCATAGCAGCACTCAGAGAAAAGGATCTTGACACAGGTTCTCTGATACAAACATTCTTTTCCTGTGACCTGTAAGAATATTCACATATGCAAGATGGTGTTCCAAAAGTCTGAAGGCCAACTCTAGAACTGCAGAGTGTCCCATCCCCCCTTCTGAAAGGCCTGTGGGGGTCATGTCCCAAGAACTCAGAAACAGGACTGGCAAGGGCCACAGGGACAGCAGCTGATCAAGCACTGGACTTGGAATCCTAGGAGCTAGGGAGTTTAGTTCCCAATAATCAGCCTGTTGGGGACCTGTTTCCTCTCTTACAATAGGCTATTTCCAAGCTGCTTTCCACCTCTGGTGATCTACATGGACAAAACATCACCTTTTCAGTAGTGGTCATCCAAAACATCGTCAGCCACTACTGAAAAGTAGGTAGGGTCCTGTGGTGGAGCAGGTAGAGTACTTTTGGTCACACAGTTGGATCAAAAGCCAAGAGTTCTGGCCACTGAGTTCTTATGGGGATGTGGGAGACCACAGACTCTGGCAATGTAAGTGATCCTGGAAGGAGAATCTAGTCCCCACTCCTGGATGCGCTGCAGTTGTGCCCTGGAGAGGTAGCACGCCAGAGCCTTGTGCTGGGTTGGGCTGCATTGGCCTTAGGGGTCTGAGACTCATCAGCGAATACACTTCCCTCCAGGGAGCATTCTGTATGACAGCTCCTCGCTGACACTGACAGCTCCTCACTGTCACTGTAACAAGGCAAGGCAAGCTGTGTGGTAGAGAAACTAATCTAAGTGGCTGCCTCAGCAGGGTGGATGTGATCGATGGTACTACAGATATAGAACTTTTGATTTTTCTCATTCCTAAATTGTAGGTGCTTCCATAATTGACCCCCTGGGAAGTGCAATTAATCTGATCTCCTCTTTTTCAGAGTTTTCCATTTCAGGGCCATCTGCAGGAAGAATAAACAGACCTGATCCTATTGGCAGGAGAGGCCCATTGCTCAGGGCTACACACACTCATCCTTGGCCTGCCACAGACCAGGTGGATGTCAGACTAGAGGGATGCACAGAGCAAGCCTGCCCACCTTGCCGAGGTTCGGTTCGGGCTCTGTCCCCCTTCCCTTCAGGGCCCTGATGCTCTGTCATGGGTAGGGCAGCTTTTAGTCTGTTGTTGGAGTGGGCACAGGGAGGGGCCAGGAGGATGCAGAGCACGAAAAGGAAGTACAGGAAAAGGCCCAGCGGTAAGCATGGAGAACTGTGGCCTATGGCAGAGGTCCATGAGTAGGAGAAATGTGGAGTCAGGTCAAAGTGGGAGAAAGAAAAGGAAATCTCCCTCAGTGGGCTCTGAGGCACTGGAAGGTTGTCCAGCTTCTCAGACAGCTTGAAGTGGAAGCTGGCTTGGCCCAAGATGAAACTTGGAAGTTGTCTTGGGGTACCCAGATCAAAGCCTGGTGGTATGAGGTTGTGGGCTTCACTCAGCCCATTGCTGAGGACCGCAGACACCGGTGTCCCTACCAGCCAGCGCCACATATCCTTCCAAGGGCTTAAAATCCCTTCCTGGGTGAGGACTCACCCACAGTGGCCGCAATGCCTGCTGAGAAGTGGTCCTCACAGAGCCTCCTCAGGAGGGACGTCTTCCCCACAGCTGAGTTGCCCACAAACACGATCTTGAACAGTCGGTCTGGAGTGGATGGCGAGCTTTCCTCCTGTGGGTCACAGACAGTTGGTCTGGGCACCTGCTGGGCACAGCTGCTAGTCCCTGCTGTTGACCTGACTCATCCTTCTTGTTCTGCCTATGGTTCCTGGAGGGCCCAAACCAGAGAGGCTGCCCCAGGCTCAGAATGCAGTTCATACTGGGCTCTGGGCACAGAGGCTCTTTCCCACAGCAGGAGGGAGGAGAAACAGCCACCACCGACATGTGTTGCCCGGCTGCTGTGACCCTGGGGTGGGGAGGCAGACCCTGGTGATGTGGAAGTTGGGGAGGCGGGCATGTAAACAATCACAGAAGCACAATACTTGGAGAGCTATACGAGCAGAGGGGGAACAGAGAGCAACTTAGAGGAGGCAGGGATTCTCCAGGTAGACAGGACCGCTGGGCCATTCCCAGAAAGAAGGAGATCTAGAGAAGAGAAGGCCACCATATCACAGGGGCAGAGACATCCAGGCTGGGCTGAAGAGCTCTTTTTTTCTGCCCTGTCACTGAAAGCTGGGGTGGAATGGAGCCCCTTGCTTCCTCCCTCATATGGCTCTCTTGTTCTCTCTCCTCAGCTTGTAGCCGTCTTCCTTGGGTACCAGCCACTCAGGAAGCTGGAATGTGCTGTGATGCCCGGCTACTGCAGCTTTCCAGAGGCCACTGCAATTTCTCAGAGGCCACTGTGGCTTCCTACAGGCCACTGAAGCTTCCCCAGAGCTCCAGGAGCCAGTGCAGGGAGCTGGACCACCCATTAGTCAGGGACTCTAAAAGCCAGGAAGGGGTGAGTGTTATGGTTTGTGTCTTGATGGCCTCCTAAAGCCTCATGCAGTCATAAGGCAGGCTTATAGAGATTTTGACTGATTCATGGTCCAATGCTGGGATTATGGGTGTAAGTGCTACACCCAACCTGGGGTGGGGAGCCTTCATACAATATAAGGGAGGGAAAGAGGCTAGTTTCTGCTCCTCCTTTTTTGCTCTTGCTGCTTTTGCTGTTTTCTGCGCCCATGAACTGTTGCCCTCTGCCATGTGCCACTCTGCTTTATGGAAACCTCCATTTGAAACCTCTACAAACTGTGAGCTAAATAAACCTTTCCTTCCTCATTTCTGGGCATGAGGTACTTTGTCTCAGCAATGAGAGAAAAGTAACCAAGACAGTGGGCTTGCTCAGGACACAAGATGAATGGGACACAGCTTGGTGTCCCTTGTTTCTGCCCAGTGGCCATTCCTTTCTGCGAGTGCTTGCTCACTTGAGTCTTGCCTGCAAGCTCAGCTCAGCACTGCCTGGTCAGAGGAATCTTTCTGACATCTATTTGAGAGTGAATTGGGGGAATTAGCTCCTGTCCTTGAGCAAATACTATAATGGAGTGGCAGTTGATATTAGCAGTACTTGAGTTTCAGAGAAAGTCATTGGCAGTCTTTTGCAGAGAAATAAATTCCACCCAGTACTTAGGAAGGAATTCAAGGTCAACTACAGAATTTAAACTAAAAGAACTTTTAAAGCCCACACTCAAGGGGCTGGGGATTTAGCTCAGCGGCACAGCACCTGCCTGGCAAGCTCAAGGTTGTGAGTTTGATTCCCGATACTGGAAAAAAAAAAAAAAATAAAAAGAAAGCCCACACTCAAAAATGATGTTCCTGTCCTGTTTTGTTTATTCATGTGATGCACAAAGATGCTGGTGCCTCTCATCCTTGTATCTCCAACTGTCATTTGTTTGAGACACTGGGCAGAAGCACAGGTGAAGAATGTGAAGCCCAGGGTACCTGAAGGATCCTGGTGGTGGAGATGCCTAATTCTTAGCCCTGTGGCTGCTGCCTATCCCTGTTTAGAGCACTTCTTCTGTAGGCCCCAAAGCAAATGGAGAAGGTACAGCCTCAGGCAGGACTCACCCAGGAAGAGTGGTGAGCCCCTGCTTATGCCAGGCCCTCAGCCTGCACATCCTGCAAGAGAGAGTGATATACCCCAGCTACAGCAGGGGCCAGTGAGGAGACTTAGCTGGGCCACAGGAGCTGTGTGTTTGCCTCCCTTCTATATGCCTTTCTGAATTTAAAAAACTTAAAAATAGAAAAGTAAGACATACTAATTGTTAAAGCTAGGAATTACAGTTCCACAAGGATGCACAATGTGCAGGGTTAGAGTCTCCTGCACCTCCCAGTGGATGTTTCTGAAGCTGTTTCAGAAGGTCAAGTGGAGGCTGATGGCTTGAGCAGCTTGTTTCAAGGCCTGGGTCACAGATGAGAGGAAGGATATTACCATCTTGAGCCAGAGGAAGAATATATGTGGTCTATGTCTCCTGGCAGAATTTAGCAGGAAGGCTTGGCAGGAGAGCAAAGACTCTCTGAAGGGAGGAAAAGGCAGGGAATTGGGGGATGTAGGCTGCTTGACTAAGAACCAAGAGGAAATGAGTGTGCACACACTTTCCAGCAGGGACCAACCCTGCTGAGAGGAGTACATGTGCAGCTTTGAAAGTATCTGATGCTTCATGGTATGAGCCCAGAGAAAGCCTGCCTTAAGTAGGCGTTCAATAAATGCTTTGCACCTGAGTCAGAAAAGAGCACAGGATGGGGGAATGGGGCCAACAGCAAAGGTAACACAGAGAATTCATCAGTGCGCCCAAGTCTCTCCTACCACACTCAGCCAAGCAGGGGAAAGGGGCATTTGGAAGATAGGAATGTGACACATCCCGGGACCTGTTGTGCTGACTTCCTGAATGCCGTCTGGGACTCCTGGGTGCAAAGGCAAAGGACAGATCACAGAACAATGCCCACAAAGCAGGTAGGCTGGGCTGTTACCTGACAGAGGGCTTCTTTTCCGACAGGCTGCCCTCGGGGAGATGTGGGGGAGAGTGTCAAGGGTGGGGCCTGTTGGACTGGTCCCTCTACCCCCTGACTGGAGGCCCCCTCCTCTTCAGGGGACTTGCTCAGTGGTTGCTCAAGGGTACCATCCAGGAGTTGGGGCAGGGGATCTTCCTCGATGGAGATGATTCTGCGAAGTGGCCGTCGGAGTGGACTCTCAGCCCCTGGCTCGCTGGTCTCAGGTTCCTCTTCTGTGAGGGGGCATGCACCCAGGCCCAGGGAGCCCTTCCCTCTTGGAATGCTAAATACATCTTCTTCCTCCTCGGACTGGCTGTCAGGATGGGGAAGAAACACAAAGTGGGGGAATATCCTCCATTATAGAATACCTTTTGTGAAAGACAACTGAAAAGCACCAGGCCTTTGGAGAAGAGAAAGAAAATCAGGAAAGAAAAACTACAGAGCTAGCATTCTTTTAGCTCATTCATTCTAACACTAAGTGCCTGATGATGAGGATGAGAATGAAAGATTATGGTCAGGCTGGACTGAAAGAAAGCTGTGAACAGATGGGCAGAGGGCCTGTCCACATGCATGCTGGGTTTAGTGGGGGTCTGTTGTAGTTTGGATCCAAAATGTTCCCCCAAAAACCTGTACATTGAGGGCTTGATCCCCAAAGCAGCAGTCTTCAGAGCTGGGGTCTAGAGAGGTGATTGATTGGATGAGGAAGGTGTCGATCTCATCAATAGAGTCATCCCATGAAGAGTTCACAGCTGAGTAGGGTGTGGGTGGCATGGCCTCAGAGGAAGCAGACCACTGGACAAAGCCTCTGTCTTGTGCCCAGCCACTTCTTCCTGGGCTTTTCCCCTCTGTCTCCTGGCTGCCATGAAGGGAACAGCTCTCCTTCACCATGTCACTCCGCCATGATGCTTTTGCCTTGGAGCCAACTGACCATGGACTGAAGCCTAGAAAACTGAATCAATATAAACCTCTCTTCCTTTCAGCAGTTTCTCTCAGGCATTTTATCACAACAATGCAAAGCTGGCTAACATAAGGTCTAAGGCATTAATGACCAAATAAACACACTTCTACAAATTCGGAGAGCACTATGAAGAAGTAAAGGTAATGAAGAAAGGAAGTAAAGCGCCAGACTGGCAATCAAGTGACCCATTCTTCTCCCAGCACTGGCCCTTATAAACTGCACACCCTTGGGTAGGACACTTCCACTCTGCAAGCCTCAGGTTCCTCACTGAGGAAACAAATGAAACTGCAAAGGTGGCCCATCTGCTTTGCCTATTCACAACTGCAACAACTCAGTGGTAGGCATGTTCACCCAGTGCCCTCCACAGTATGGGGTGCCATGGCTCTGGGGGGCCCTGACCTCTCATAGCAGGTGTCTTGCACCTCAGAGGCAGCTGCCCCTTGAGAGAGAGAATGTTTTGGGCCAGAAGGAATATCCATCCACCTCTCCTTCTTTCTGTCCCTAGAAGTGCACCCTTGTTTCCTGACACATTTGAGCAGGAACACCACAGAGGAGCAGTGGGAGGAGGGGAAAAAAAAACAGGCCTCTGGGATACACACCAAGAACAGGTGGCATTTTCAGGAAGTTTGGAGAGCAAAGGCCTCACCGAGGCTCCTGAGCAAGGGAGCTCCTTCTAGGTCTTTATGAAAAAAACTGAAGCTGAGAATTCTGAAAGGGAGCTGAAGTCTGACAGGTAGGACCTTACACCCACGCTGCATCAGTCTTTCTGTCCCTGAATCTCTTTCTCTCTCTATCTTTCTCTCTGTCTCTCTCTCACACACACACACAGACTAGAAAAGCAAATTCAACAAAGATGAAGTATTGAGGTGACAGGACATGGGGAGGAAGAAATGTAGTGAGGAACATAGAATATACAGAACACAGAAACACCTTTTATTTTAACCCCTGGCTTATAGGATTTATTGCTCCCAAGAACAGACAATAGGAAGGAAAAATAAAACCAACTGCAAACACCACCATTCTAAGATTAATTGTAATTCTGAAAGATCAATTAAGACGCAGTGCTTGCTCATAACAATGGTGAATTCATTTGGATCCCTTGACCGAAAATAAGAAATCTACAGCAAGCCAAACACCTATCCCTTTACTTATAAAAATCACAGTTTTCAATAAAAGCCAAATGGCTTCTTTCCAGCACGCTTCCTGTCCACACTATCGAGCCTAGTAACCATAGCGTGACGAGTACTCACACTCACTGTCACTGTCTTTGCCCAGGCAAGGAGGATATCTGGGTGCAACATGAGCAGCACGCACACACAGCATGCTTCTCCAGAGGCTTGTCGACCAGAAACAAAACAGCCACTTATACAGGCTCTAAAAGAAAGCATTTCTAGGAAAAGGTTTTTTATTTGGGAAATTCTTAAGCACTGCTGACATTCTATAATACCCTCAGCTTAGCGTGACTAAATTCATTTTTGGTTTTGCCACCAAACGCTCTCTGGCACCGGTAGAGAAAGCATCCACTTTTGCTAAGCCTGTATTAGGATTTAGAGTTCATGATTTGTTGCTTACTGGATTATTGTCTGTTTCCTCTGCTCAAGAGATGGGTCTATTTCACTCACTTCAGGTATCCAGCACATACACCAAGACCTCACACAACCTCAATATTAAATGAGCATTTGCTAATAGATATTAACAGAGAAAGTCATGTCCAATTCATCTTTCAAGTCTTTGTAAAATTCAAAAGAATACCTGGCACAGAGTCGGCAATCAGTAAGTGCCTGCTGAATCAATAGATACATTCAGTGCCATGGAACCAAAAGGCCAACTACTACCGCAGAAATTTGGCTTCCAAATTGTATATCATTATTCAGCTATTTAGAGATGGAATTTATGATGAACAGACCCAAAAATTTTCCTGAGGAGCTGATTTACATCCCCAAAGTCATCTTCCCTTGGGGAAATGTAATCTTTTTATCCTTTTATGCTTGCTTCTCCCTGGGTCTGATTCTTCAGGGCCTCCACCTCTCTGTGACCATTGTGTGGGCAGAGAGTATGCCACACAGGATGGGGCAGGGCCCACTGTCTATGCACGGGTGGCAAGCCAATACTTTGGGTTCTCAAGCTCAATCATGTGCTGTCCAACAGCAGCAAAACATGTTGTATTTGAGCTAGTTACATAAGAATCTATGAAACAATCTGTCAAGCACAAGACCCAATCTTGTCTATCAAAGAATCCATCCAGTAAGACCCCAGATAACTCTTTAATTAACCTTCATAGCCAAGAAAGTCATGTTTCTGAAACAGCCAGCCACATCTGTTCTGCTCAGAAGACAATAGTCATCCAGCCCACCCTCTGTCTCTCTCCCTGGGCCCTCTTCTCTTCCTCTCACTCTGTGGACCTATAGCACCCTTTAGGTTCTTCTCTGTAGCACACCCTAGGATAGGCAGCCTCAGAAGACAACGACCTTTCCTGAAAGTCTCCTCTGCATAGACCCCCTCCAGCATGGATGCCTCAGCAGGGCGGGTCATGTTCTCCAAGCTTCTAAGGCAGTGAGAGCAGCTGACCTCAGAATTCCCCTCCAAGGCTATAGCTCAGAGCCCAGTCTTCACTGAGTGTGGCCCAGAGCCAACATCCAAGCAGATGAATAAGTGATGAACAATGATGACTTACCTTCTAAGAATCCCTCCACTGTCCACATATTTGCCGATCACAGAGCCAGATCTCTGCTTCCAATTTGCCTTGGAAGCAGCTGTGTTTGCCTTGGCTGCCTTATCTTTCTGCAGAAACACAGAATGCCCTCAGATGCATGCCTGGGGACTGGCCCCAATGCCTGAGCAGGAAAGGGCTCACCATTCCTGCTTCTGGGAGGCAGAGTGTATCAAGACTTTGAAGTAAGCCAACAGGGTGCTGGTCACCCACTTTCCCCTTTGGCTATCACCCCAATTCCTCCATCTCCTTTCTCATAACTGAATCCAAGGAAAAAGTGTAGAGCCTTGGTCTGCCATGTTATTCTTCTCAGAGGCACTGATAGTTTGCAAGAAGACGAAGAAGAGATAGCTGTTTCATGCATAAGACAAATACTGATTGGCATTAAAAGCTTCTGCACATTTAAAATCACACTCATCTCTGTGGCTCTAATCTCTTTACTTCCAAAGCCCCAGATACAATGAGAACCTGGAAGGCCAAGTAACCCATGGCCTTATCCATCTCCTGTGCTTGTGTAAGCTTTTTAGGCCTTTGGGGGAAGTAGACTGGGTGTAGATAAACAGCTCCAGCATCTGTGGAGCAAGGTCTTAGAACTCCTCTATCAAAGCTCCCTAAGAGATGTCCTCCAGGAGAGCAGAGGGAGTCAGATCACAGAAAGTACCTCTCATTAGTCACCCCGCCAAAGTTTTCCGTGATCCTTAATGAGGGGAGGAGGAGCTGCAGCACTCCCAGGGCCCCTGGAGGTATGGCTTTAATTATTGTAGATGAATCTTTAATTATATTTTATATCAACAGGACTTTACCCCCTTTTCTTCAGTCCCCACTGGGGTTCTTCACTTTATCTCCTGTTCAGAGCAGAATGGGTTTGGCAGGTGAAAGGAAGTAGGGTGAAGGGATTAGGATGACATTTGGTTGGAAGCTTAAAAAAATCCAGCGTTACTTCTAAAGCAATTACAACCATTATCATCATCAAACAAACATGTGTAGGCTCAAGTCTTGCTCAGATGGTATGCATGAGTGGGCAACAGAAATGTTTGCTGTCAGTGATATACTGAAGGCAGGGAGTGTGACACGTCTCCCAGGTACTGGTGGTTTAAACCAGGTCAGGCCCAAGCCAGGGCAACCTAGCTGCCTTATGCCAGCCATATTTAGGCTGCCATTCAGACAAGGATGCAGTACACTTCATTCTTCACAACAGCTTTTCTCTTAAATCCCTCTAATGTGGGGAAAAAAGAGGACAAGGATCTCCTTTCCTTGTGTGACAGCAGGGATCATGGTCCCAAGTGATGAATGGTGTGTCCAGGGACACACCCACAATTCATGGTGTGACAACCCTATAATTAGGAAGCCACGCTAATCCATCCACCCGCATTTTTCTTTCTTCAGAGCACCCAGTTGATCCTGGTAAAGAGGAAGATGAGCAGAGGAGTGTGGAGTCTTAGATTTTGCTCACCACAGTGAAGGTATCTAAATAAATAAAGCCTCTCAAGATACTTGAGGAAGTAAAGAGGGATGGTGCTAGGGTACACAAGAGGAGGAGTCCCTATAAAGTAGAAAAATTTTTACATAAAATCAACTATGTAAATAGCTACAGACATATTTTTAATTTGTTCCATGACTGTAAAAATGCAAAATCAATAGTTGAAAATTTAAGTGAAAATAAAACTAAGCATTTTGGTTTAAAAGTTATAGCATTTTGGCTTAAAAGTTAAGGTGGCATTTCAACTGCATCATCTCACAGATGGGACTGCCATCTCTGCAGCCAAGAAAGGTGCGGTCCTCCCAAAGGCATTCCTCCCACTATGCCAAGAGGAAAGTACGTTACTCATGGAAAATCCACTCGGGTCACAATCTGCCAGGCCACTTGATTTTCATATCATTTACCAAACATCTGGCACCATCATCCTGCACCCACACCAAGATCAAACACATCCCAGATGTCAGGACAACCTTAGGTCAGCCCTGGCACAGATCTGGCTGCCCTTGGATCACTGTTTTTGTCTCCCACTGCCCCAACCCCAAAGGGAGCACCGGCCACTGACCTGAAAGCTTATATCTTGTTCATCTCGGAGATGTTTGTTCCTCTCCCTGTGGACAGCAAGGGGGAAGCTATTCACACACAAGCCCACAGTTCCAGCAGTTGTCATTTTACTGGTCAGATGGGTGCAGGGAAGGGTCTAGTGTGGAGGACCCCAATAGCATGTGGAATGTCTTCCCTTAGAGAAGTGATTAACCACAGAGGACAGTTTGTCAATCAGCTCAGAGGCAGGGGGGTAAAACTGAATGGTCTACTGACACCTGCAGCCCCACAAGATCATGCATGGCACTCGGCACTAGGGAGCATGCTCCCCCTCACCAGGCCTGCCAGAGCCCCCTCTGCCTAAGCATTCCTTCAGGCATGTGTGCAGGCTCCATTTAAAGGGCTCCTGAGCACTTGCCAGGCTCTTGGGAAGCACTTATGAACAAAATATGAAATTCTTGCCTGAGGCAACCTGGATGTTAGCAGGTGGATCATTGCTTCAAAAAACATAAAGCCGGAACTTGGAAGAAGAGAGCCAGAGGGTGGCACACTACTGCCATTAGCATGGCCAGGGAAGCCCTTGCTGGTGAGGCCACAGCTGAGTGGAGACTGAAGGAGGAGAAAACAGGCAGATGTCTGGAGGAGAGCGGTCCAGGCAGAGGAGAGAGCAAGGCAAGGTTTGGGTTGGGGCATACCTGGTGGGCCTGAGAAACAGGAGGAGTAGGGTGCCCAAAGGGAGAGAAACTAAGAGAAGAGGTTAGAGAAAACGAGGGCAGGAGTGGGTGGGGACCGTCTTATTCACCGCCTCCTGGATCACCGGAAGAATGACAATTTTCATTCCAAATGAGATATAAAACCACAGGGTGGGGAGGTGTGGACTGCAGAGGGTGTCATGATCTATCTGACTCTGGCTTTGAAAGGAGCCCCCTGGATGCTGCACTAAGAAGTGACTTTGGGGACAGGATGGGGCCCTGAGAGTGGACCACAGCTTTAGTGAGGTAGAAGTCATGGGTGAGTGGACAGGAGCTGTTTCAGTGGGACAGAGAAGAAAGGACATGGAGAAGACAGGGAAGGTAAATGGCTCCTGGAAGTTTTGTTGTCAAGGGATGGAAGAAACGCAGAGCAGCTGGATGGAGAAGTGAAGACCACAGGGGTCAGGTGTGAAATGTTCCAGTGTATCTGCAGACACTTCTAACAGAGAGGGAATGGACAGCAGAGGAGATGAGAACAGATGCTGGAGTGACCCTGCAGCAGCCTCAAAGGACAGATCAACTCCAGAGCCAGGCACAGGGGTGAGGTGGAGTCACCTTCTCTAGGAGCACAGGTTGTTCTCCCAGGGCAGCACAGAAAGCGGAGATGAGGCCCAGGCGGGCACAGGGCAAGCTCCCAGGAGTCTAAGGAGGAGGGTAGAAAGGAGGATGGAGGTACACTGCACCACGGAGTGAGCAGGCCTGGGGTGTGGTGTGACTGCAGGATGTGCTAGACTGTAACGAGGGAGAATCTTATCCACTAACACAAGAGATCAGAAGACCACAAAGTGCATGAAGTTCTGTAACTCAATGATACTTCAGATCACTGGCCTCTGAACCAATCCACGCTTTTGAAAGGAAAGGGAGGCCCAGCAGAGGCCGGGCCCTGGTCATCACAGCGCACTGCTGACTGGGCACTCCCGGGGCCAGGTGTTTGCTCTGTGTGCTGTATGCTGCAGGACTAGCGTCAGGCAGGCCTCAGGGATGACAGCCAGGGTGAGGCTAAGGCTTGGGGGTGTTCTGTAAGCCCAGAAGAGCAGAGGAAGCAACACATGTAGAAGGAACCTACTCATGCAGGGAGTAAGTCAGCAGCTTCACACCCAGGTGAAGACTTTGGGTACCTGGGTGCTATTTCCTGCTTCCTCCGTGCAGCCATGCAGAAACTACAGCATTTAAAGAAAGGCAGCATGTCCCTCCTTTCACCACACCGTGGCCTGTGCTAACCCCTTTTGCAAACCTCACCTAATTCTCCAAAGAAGCCTATGAGTCAGGTGTGAGGAAATTCAGACCCAGCTGCTCACATCACCTGCCCAAGATAGTACTAGACTGTGAGGATTTCGAGCCAGGTCTTGCTCTGTAGTGCATATTCCTAACCACGAGCCCTGAAATGTGCTCCTGTCTGTGTAGGAGCCCAGCGCTCCTCATCTGTCACATTCCAGCCATCATCTTGATTCCCCCGCCTCTGCCTCCGTATCCCTGCTGGCCTCCCCGGCCCGCCTACACCCAGCACTGTCACCGCCTGTGATTCCTGAGGATTTCACTGCAATGGGAAAGCTGTCCTTGGGGGCTTTCTGGTACCCCGACATCTCAGCTTCAGCTTTAGTAACTCCACCATCACACAGAAAGTCCAGCCTCAGGGAAATTACCAGTGAGTGTCTGTGGAGTACTGCTTTGCCATTCTCTTAGGATCTGCCCTTTATTTTCTTCCAAGTACAACAGATGAAAACAAAAACAAATAATCTGTCCTTATACATCTGGTTCTCGCCCTCTTACTAAATAAGGCCCGCTTATGAATCAGGACACTCTTTCCAGTGATCAGAAGGTAACCACCTAAACCCTTCTGCAGAGGCCTTGTTGCCTTGTGCAGAGTGGAGTTCATCAGAACCACATCCAGGGGAGGCTGCTTTGATTTGGTACTGTCACTGACACCAGACACAGTGACGTGCCCTTGAAATAACACCCCCTAACTCCATTACATATCCAGGAAGTGATTCAAACAATCTGCACCCAGAGCCTCTGTCCCATCAGCAGTGGGTGCTGGGGTAGCTGCAGTGTACAACCACAGCGGCAAAACCAAAAATTCCATCCTGCCCGACATGGGCTTGCTTTTCTTTCTGGCACATTCCAGACTAGTGAACTTTAAATTTATTTCAGTGCACTTTAGAGTCTGAGGAGACTCCTTTCTTGAGATGTTTGCTGTTTGTGATTTGTTTACTCATCCAGAAAACAGGACTGGAATATAGCTGAGTACAAAGAGCTGGCTGTGGATTTCAATCCTGGCTCATCTGTGAGGAGCTTCGCAGCTTCTAATAATTTACTAAATTCAGCTTCCTTGTCAGTTACTTCCTGTCCTAACAGCCGCTTTACTTACCTAATAGTCTGGCTGAAGACGGGAGATAACACAGCAGGCATAGAGTAGCTGCCCAGTAAATGCAGTTGCCCCCCTACCTGAGTAGGCACCATGGAAGACACCAAGAATGAGTCAGAGCTGTGCGAACAGCACAAACTGCACAGAGATGTGGGCATGTGTGTAAATGTACCAAACACCCAAAGGAGTGGTGCTCAGCGATCCAACCATACACAGGGGACAAGAGGGGAATGGTGCTCCTCTTGACCTCCAGGTGCCCTTCCAACCTAAGCATCTGGATGCATTCTGACCCACCTTAGGAAATCCAGCTGCTTCAGGAGCCCCGACTTCTCTCGCTGCAGACTCTCCGTCACAAGATACACCTCCCTGGGGAGCAGCAGACAGAGCAATGAGCAGGCATGGGGAGGAAGAGACCACAGGGAGGTAGGGAGTGTGTGGGGAGGTGTCCTGGCTTGGGATCTTCAGCTCAGTGAGTCATCACAGACACCTGTGTGGAAGGGAGATGTCCCCGCTGTGTGATTACAGACAGGAAACTTGATGACACAGACACCCCACAACTGAATATGGGGCCTCTCTAGACCTCATCTTCCAGAGCCCTTATTCCACAGCCACTTCCCACGGCACCTGCCCGCGTGGCTGGGTGGTATCGGTGTGGTTGTTCCAGGCTCCAGCCAGCCTGCCACCCTCAGCTCCCTCTAAGGACAGAAATCAGTATTCTCCTGCAGCCTGGTCTGGGGGAAAACTTACATCACCATCTCTCCCCGCACTCACCCGACACCAGGTTAGTTCATTTTCAAACGATTTGGAAGAATCATTTTCCCTTCCCAACTTCCTCGCAAAGTCCCCACATTGTTCCTAGATATCTGGAATTTTCTACTGTTGGGCATTCATTTCTTTGACAGGATTTCTTATCGCTGGCTTTCATGCAGAGAGTGAGTGTATCAACTGCAGTCATTCACAGGGTAACACTGGGGTACCCAGGGGGACTATAGGTCAGCGGAGGCTGGGAGTAGTGCTGCGTTCTGCCCTTCAACCCCACACCTGACACAGAGGCCCAGCCCAGACTGCATAAGAAGGGAGAGAGAGAGAGAGAGAGAGAGAGAGAGAGAGAGAGAGAGAGAGAGAAAGAGAGAGAGGGAGAGAGAAGAAAGAAGGAGGGACAGAGAGGAAAAGAGGAATGGAGGAAGGAGCAGGAGGCAGGACTGGAGGGGTGGCAAGGATGGCGGGGCTTCAGGACTGCTGGGGAAGGGAGAGGAAAAACAAGTGAACCGGAGCAGTGGAGGCCACTGCACTGCACACTTTCGCCTCCTTTCTCGCTCTGCTCTGAACCTTGGTCTAGAAAAGCCCGTGTCGTCCACCTCACCCTCGGTCTCACCGCAGAGGGGCTACACTGCAGCGCTTAGCTTGGGAAGCAGCCACAGCCAGGTGGGGGGCTGCCTGCTGCTGTTGGGTTCCCTCCATCAGCCATCAGTGTCCCCGCCCAGGGGGGTGTGAGCAGCACCAGCGGGCCGGGTCCAGGCCTCCCGCCAAGCACCTGAGAACCCAGCTCCAACGGGGGTTTCTGTGCTCTTCTCTTCTTCCCCTTTACAGAATAATTACAAGTTTGCCTCAGGACAAGAACAGGCTGAATCAAATCCCCAGCTCACCTCAGACAATCCTAAGAAAGCCATAGCGCTTCCCTGGCGCCCTCCAGCAGAGCTGCGAGTTCCTCACATTTTACTACCAATTATATTTAATTTCAACTTAAGGGAAAACAATGTATTTCCCATTATCCAAGTGGGTCCCCGAGCCCTGTCTGGGACACGGCTCTGATCAGCACACCATGTACCCAGCCACCCACTCCACTCTGTGCCTGCCCTGGCTCAACAGCTTTCTGCCTGCTCAGAGTCACTCAGCGCACAGCCCAGGGAGAAAAGCCAATTCCTAACCCACAGGTTTGCAGGATCTCCTCTGTCCTCTCTGCAGTACCAGAGGCAGGCAGGAGCCACAGGACCACACATGCATGGCATTCATGTGCCAGGACATGTGTATCTACTCATCTGGTGAACATGCATCTATTCAGATACACACGGATTGCTGTTAACAAAAAGAAAGGCTCCCCTGGTTAACTGCCCTTATAGCCCCTCTAACTTAGAGGTTCTAACAGTCTGTTCCTCAGTAAAATGAAAATTACAAGGGAAAGAATCTGCTGGTTTTTCTTGTAGTCATTGGTGAGAGGTTTATGGTTCCCTTAAGGGAAGGACTGTTGGGTTTGCTTTTAGGAAGAGATGAAATTTGGAACACTTTAAAAAATATACTGTCAAGTAAAAAGCACAAGGCAAAAGTAGCACAGTATGCTTGCTGTGCTACTGTTTGGTAAAGTGTGTGTGTATGTGTGCGTGTGTGTTGCACTGAGTACACTCTGAGACACTGTGACTGGTGCCCTCTGGGTAACAGGAGACTGAAGTCACGGGTGGGGCAGGCTGTTTCTCAAACATTTACCCTTCTGCACCGTGTCATAAACACCTACTCCAAATAAAAGTTAATTAAAAACAGAGCCATGCTACTTTTCCCACCAACCTCCATCTATTAGCTCTCCTTGTGGTTCTTTCTTCATCTCATTTGAAGATTTAGTACTCCTACATCGGGCACTCTCAGACAACAGGAGAATTAATTTTGCCCATGCAGCGTTCTTGCTGATAAACGATTAAGTCTATTTATTTCCTACTCCACCCCCACTCCTCCCAAGGCTTTGGAGCAGCACAGGCGGCACCCTCAGGGGACAGGACGCACAGGTACAGAGAGAACCAGTCTGTCCCAGGCTTCTGGAGGGAACTAGCTGTGTGGTTTTGAGTCAGTCTCTACACCTCTCTGAGCCTCAGTTTTTCTCTGGACAAAATGAAGGCAACAGATTGAACATTCAAGCCCTGCCAGTAGAGTGGCTCCGTGATTCCATTCTGTGGGGAACAAGTCAGGGTCCCACTGTCCCTCTGTCCCAGCTTCCCTGGGTAGGACACACTGTCCTGGGCCACCACGGCTTTCAGATGCATGGGATGTTCTGATTCCCTTGAAAAATGCATGGTGAAGCTGTGGATCCTGCCCCTGCCCTCCGGAGACTACAGCTCTGGCTTGGTTAATTAAGATGAGACTTCAGAAGGCTGCATCCTCATGCTGAGCACCAGTGCTCCAATGCTGTATATTCCTGTTTACTGTTTTAATTCTCCTGCCTTTAGATGTTTGCTGCTTTAAGAACTTGATTGAATTTAAAGAGCTGGAATCCTTAATTCTGTTCATAAAGTTAAGTGCTCACCCTGTATTGCCCTGCTGTCAATGAGGAGAAAGTGATTTTGCTTGTTCACAGTGAAATACACGTTCTTTCTATAACTGTCCGTCAAATAATTGGGACAGAAGGACTTGATTTTGTTTGGGGGATCTTTTCTTTTAGACTAGAGATACCTTTCTGGGGTCAAATTCCCAGTCTGCATACGTTTCCTTTCTACTGCCTTCACCACCTACCCCCATGGTGCAGGACTTCATATATGAACAGACTGGTGGAACAAGCTGCATTAGGTCTGCGCACCCAGGTTTTGCCCACAGTCAGACAGATGGGGGTTTTCACTTTTGAATGAGGGCACTTGAAACATGCAGAGCACTGAGTACTAAGCATGCTGCTGCCGCTACCCTGCATCAGACAGCTAGCGCCCAGGCTCCTTTCAGGAGCAGCCACACAATGACCTTTGCAGAAGGAACGAATGCGTGAGTGGAGACGGGAACAAAGTGAATGCTGGTCTGTCCAATGCTTGTACTTGCTGGCTGGCTTATTATTCTCTGGGGTGTCGCCAAGCACTTAGCATCCTGGGGCTGTTACTCAAAACTTCTGAACCTCAGTTTCCTCCTCTGCGAATCAAAGTTGAGAATAATGGTACCAGCTGCAGCAAGATGCTGTAAGGTCACACAAGAGGCTGTTGAAATACAACCTGAAGTGGGACATGTTCAAACCCCGCGTGGTGCCAAGGGTGGAGTGATCTGCAATAGCCATACACAGACAAATGAATGGATAGATCGTGACATTTCTCCACCCTGGGCATTAGAGAGCAAGCCTCACGCTCCCCAAATGAGGTAAACGGCTGATCCTTGCTCTGGTGGACCTCTGCCCAGCCAGATGACTAAGCCCAGCAGCTGAACTCCAACAGCACCTTTCACTGGCAAACCAGCCCTGAGAGACGTGTGGTTCACGGCACCCTGGGCCCATGAAGTCTAAGAGGAAAGCACTGCTGGAAAAATGAACAGAGCTAGAGTGATAATTCCGGAGCCCTGCCACAACCTTGCCAAATCATCTGCTGATGCAGAAGTCTTTCCATTTAACTCTTCCCCTGGGTCCCTGGTTCTTAAAACTCTGACAGTCACCTGAGGTCTCTCTGCTCATTCAGCATCTGCTCACAGACTATCGCATGTCTGCTGATGGACAGCACACTTTTCTAACCATATAATAAACTCCTGGAGACCAGGGTTATCTAGTTCTTGTCACTCCCAGGCAGTGCTTGGCACCACGCTGGTCACTCAGTAGTCTCAGAATCTAGAAGAGGTTAGAAGAAGCCGCAAGGAGCAGTGGGCCTGAATTCTTGTCTCGCAGGCAGGCAGAGGGTTGTGAGAGAGACAGTACACTGCAGCTGGAGGCAGGCAGGAGAGCAGGCCCGACTCACATCTCCTTCTCCTGGTACAGCTTGCAGGCCTCTTGCTGGAGGCTCTCTAGCTGCTGCTGAGCGTCCTGCAGCTCCCTCGAGGTGCGCTCCAGCTCCCGCGCCAGCTCCTGGTTTGTGAGCTTCAGCTTGGTGTTCTCGGCCTTGGTCTCATGCTTGTCATTGTGTAGGGCTGTGCACTGGCCCTCCAGCTGGAAAGCAACAGGGAGAAGGAATGAGGAGCGACCACCATGGACAGGCAGGCTGACCAGCCTGGTCTTTCCTTGCTCTACCTGTGGAGGGGAGGGTCTGTCACAGCCCTCAAGCTGAAGCCAGCACTATCCTCCTTCCCAAACACCCTGACACTCGGTAGGCAGGACGGAGCCTTCAGAGCTCGTCTCATCTCTCCTGTCTCTGCCTAGGGCCCCTACTGAACAGGCCAGGAAGCGCTGCCCGACTCCACAGGTCCGCAGGGCTAGGGTGCAGCTTAGTGATAGAGCCCTTGCCAACCTGTGCCAGGCCACAGGTTCCATCCCAGGAACAGCAAATAAACACTAGCAAAGGAAATTCCACAATCCACCTGCAACTCTCACCCTGAAGCAGAGCAGTCTTGCAAACTACCCTCCACTTCTCTTGTCCTCATAACCAATGTCTTTCCCTTGGTCCTTGCTGGGGAGAAAGAACAGCTAAATGCCATTCTTCATGAAAGCATCCTTCTCAACCGTGGATGCTGAGAGCAACTTTATTTATCCCCTTACCTCCTCTCAGCTAAGTAAGCCCAATTTCTTTTCTTAAAAAAAAGTCTGTGTGGGAAGCAGAAGCCCTGTAAATTCTTAGGGAAAACTAAAGTTGGTCAAACAGGCCCCTAAACATTTTTTCATGTCCCCAAAGCATCTTAAAACCCATATTTTGATAGCTGCAGCTTTTTCTTGTGATGATGCTTTGCAGGACTTCCAATCCTCACACTAGAAGAAGAACCACACCAAGGCAAACAGAGCATAATAAATTTCATTTAATGAATGTGGCCAGGAAGCGAAGGAGAAAGCAACAACAAGGAATTTCGTGTGGCTCTCAAGAGGCTCCTGTGTAATCAGGCAAGCATGCAGTAATTAAATTGAGTGGCAATCACTCATATGAGGGGTAAATCTAATTGCTAAAAATTGAATGCATAATAGTGAGGAGGCAAGGAGAAGCGAGGTGTGAATGTGGACTGGAAACAGGAAGGCAGCCAGCAGATCCTGAAATTGACATTGCCTTGCTGCAGAAAGAAAACAACTGAAACCCAAAGCCCGAGCACCTGCAGTAGCAGCAGCAAGATGGTCCCCAGTCAGCGCTGAGGTCTCTTCAAGCTTATTTTAATGTGGTGTTAAAAATAGCACTCTCCATTCCCAGGCGAGCAATGTGTCTGGGTGGTTCTCCTACAGCTGAATTCCTCCCAGGACCAGGTGGAAGGATGCAAGAGGCAGCTCCCTCACCCATGCCACCTCGTGAGCCCTGGCTTTGGAGAGAGGGTCCTGGGTGTGATGCTTGCCTGTCCCACCAGCAGGCGTCCCCAGCCACAGAGCCTCTGGCTGCCCCTGGAGGCTCAGGCAGTCAGAAAAAGATGTCTGGGGTCTGCACTCATCCTGGGGCTATGGGGACCAGCACAAAGTGGCCCAATGAATCTCATCCAGACTGTAGCAGACAGGGGAGATATATGCCCACCTTTGAGAAGCCCCTTTCCAGCTGGACGGATCCCTGACCCTCCTGCAGCCTCCCTTCAAATGCCAGAGCATCCCTTTGCCCCCAAGTTTCCCTCTGTTCTCACACAGGCTGCAGAATCAGGTTCAAGTTTGGGCATTCCCATGGCCCCTGGATGTAACAATGGAAACATCTGGGAGCCCTTCGGAGTTGGTGGCGACTTTTCCAAGTTAACAGAGACACAGGTAAAAGGAACAGCCAGGGCTCTGAGGGCAAAACCTACCCTTTTCTGCTTCTGGTTGAGTCGCTCCAGCTCCTGCTCCTTGGCAAGCAGTTTCTTCTCCAGCTCCTCACTGTGGGCCTGGAACCTCTCTGTGTCCTGCCAAGTGGGCAGAGGGGACACACTGGGCGTAAGACAGACTCCTGAACAGGCTGCTAGCCTTTGGTGCCATGAGGGCCTTCCCACCACACACCTGCATCCAGCACCCACAGTGCCTACCAGTGAGAGCCCATATGTAGAGCTTGAGGCCCATGGAGACACCATGCTGCTCCACCAGTGTGCCTGTCCTACCGCTGTGCCCTGCACCCCATCACCCCCACCAGAGAAACAACCCAGGGTCAGCGTGGAATTCAGAGCAGGGAGAATAGAGGTCTCAGGTTGTCTCTAAACTGGAGGTGAAGGGGGAGGCAGACGACCTCTAAAATCGCTCCCAATTTGGATGCTCTGCTCTGAAACTTCCTCCCATCTGCAAGCACAGGGGCACAGCCCTGCTGAGGACTGGTCATTGCAGTTCTCCACTGTGACAGGCCCCTCTGATGTCTGTGCCTCTGCTCACAATGCCCCTCTCCTTCTACCCTTGACTGCACTCCCCTGCTCTGAGATGCTGAGGTCCAAAAGATGCAGGTGTGAGGGGTGGGCTGTGAGACAGGGAAGCACTGAGGGAGTCATGCCCGATGGAAGGGCCCAGAGCCGGCACCTGGAGCCATGGGCGCCAGTCCCTGCATCATCCAGCTAATTTGCTTCTGGATTATTCACAGTCTAGAAACCTGGATCAGTCACAAATTCTCAGGCTGGGATGCAGCTTGGTGGTGCAGCACTTGCCCGGCACAGGCAAGGCCCTTGGTTCCATGCCTAGTACCCCAAAAGAAAAAAAAAACAAAAATACTCAAGCTCCTTGTAGCCCTTCACTTACCAGAAAGTAGAACAGGGGTATAAAATATGCAGGAAGAGAAGAAACTCTAAGTATCCTATTTCTCTCTGCTAGAGTGCCCTGGGAGCCCCCGTGACAGGGAAATACCCTTTCCAAGAAGGACAGGTAGGATGCTACCCTGGGCGAGGTGGTGGGGTGGGGGCCTGCCTAGGAGGTTGGAATGATGGTTGGCAGCAGCCAAGTGGTAGAACATTAATCTTCTAGACTCACAGGGCTTTGGATACATGTGAGGTTTCCTTGGGTCCTCATCTGTGGGGTTACAGGGGCCATCAGCCTGTGACCATGCTCATTTTAACCAGGTGATGGCACAAATAGCACCTGATCAGACAGCTGCTGCTCCAGGAGTTTCTGGAGAATCAGCACCAGCAAACATGCCATGTTTTGCTTGACTGCTTCTCGCAGAGCAGGCACCCCACGGACAATGCTGGGGCAGCAAGAGGCCCAGGGCTCCCTTGAGGATGCCGCCCTCCCCACAACGGCCCTGTGCAGTGTATCACCCTTCAACCCAAGGCAGTGTACAAACAGGACTTCTGCCTGGCTTTTACGGTACAAATGATTGAGTACCTCCTTCATGGTCAAACACACTGCTAAGTGCAGAACAAGGATCCAGCCCTTGTCAGAAGGTGCAGCCCTTTCTAGGGCGCCATAAAAGGAAATGGCACTATCCCTAAAAGGAAACAGCACTGCCGAAGATATCTTAAGAGTGTCTGTGGTCATGTGAAAAGCGTAAGTCTAAGCACTGAGCTCTGTGGGCATTTGGTGTGAAGATAGGAGAAAGAGGAAGCAGAGGGGACAGGTGACACCACAGCACCATAGCCAGCCCATCCTCAGGGTCACTAACCTGCCCTGAATGTTTTCCTCTGAGCTCCGCCCACTGCTCCTGTACCTGGGCGCACCTTTTGTTCCGAAAGCTTGTCTTTGACCTGTGGTCACAGTCCCAGGCAGATGAGGCAGAACGCCTCTGTGAACCTGTCCCTTCTCAAGAGTCTATTTGGGACGAAGGGGTGGCTTCTGGTCACGGGGTGGGGGCTACTGCTATTAAGGAAGGGGCTGGGACCACACTCCTGGGTTAGTGATGAGAGGCAGAGGGGGCTGCAGGTCAAGCTCAAAGGCATTTCTGCTGAGAACTCACCAAGTGAACTGGCTAAGAATGGGTAACAGAGTTTTCTGCAGTTTTTTTTTTTTTTTTAATAAATATGTTCCAAAAAAAGACCCTGCTTAACTTGATAGTGGAGAGGATTTCACCAGTCCTGACCTCAAGACAAATAGCTGATCTAGGAAAGAGGCCGAGTGTGTGCCAGAATAGGAATCTGGAGGTAAGCTTTATACTTTCTCCCATGGTATCTGGGCATGGTGGAGTTTGCCTTTCTTGGTGATGACATTTTCTAGGCATCTAAGGAGAACAGATGGCAGCCTTGGCACTAATGATTGCCCCCTGGGGAGAGCTGCTGGGAATAGTCTGAAATGGGGCTGATATGTTCGGATGGATCTTTGATACAGGTTTAGGTATCAGCCAGTGTCTGACCCAAACTCCAGGCTGCCTTGCTAGTAAAGCATGCACTGCATCCATCCATCAACCTGTTCATCATCAATTGATTGAACAAATATTTGTTGAACACCTGCCATATTCCAGGCATGGTCTAGGAGCTGAGGATACATTAGTAAGTAAAAGACAAAGACTTTTGTGGAGCTTATATGTTAGTAGGAGGCAGCAGACAAGAATCAATAAAAATAAACAAGTACATCATATGTCACGTTCAAAGGTGACAAATGCCTTGAAAAAAAATAATGAAGCAGAGAAAGAGAGAACAGATAGTACCATGGGTGGTGGCATTGTGATCTCAAATTTGGGGGAGGTGGTCAGCGTAGAAGTGTCAGCCCAGCTAACCCTTAGAGCCAAGCCTAGAGGGTGGACACTCACTTTCAGGAGAAACTGCTCCCTCTCGCTTTTGATTTGTTGCTCCATCTCCTCATAGAGATGCTGGATTTCTTCATCATAAGCAGCAATTTTCCTACAGAGATGAAAAGCAGGGTGTGATGGGGTCAGCACTGAGAATCCTCCATTCTCCAATGGCAGTTCTGGGGATGACTTTGTAGATCAGGTCAGCCGAGGCTGCACAACCAGCCCTCAGGCCCGGCAGACCCGGCAGGGGCACAGAACCCAGCTGGATACACGCCAGCTGTTGGTAGGTCTCCCGCAGCCATGCCTTGCCCATGGCCTCCCTGTGCGTATCTGACCCACACACTCCTTCCCTGGACACATCTTCCTTACCCTGTGCTATTTCAACACCAGGCCTTTGCCTCTGCCGGACTCAGTGTTCTGCTCCCACTGATTTCCATGCTCAGAGACAGCCTGAAGTCTCTTCTGCTCAGCACCTTAGCTCATCTCATTTCTGGTTGGGAAACTGCCTCCACCTGTCTACATCAGCACTCTCTGACACTGTGCCATCATGGGACGCTCCTTGAAAATGTGCTCTTAAGTCTGTGTATCCATGTTTCTCAGAAGAGTCTCTGAACATCCCATGATGATGGCAGCAATCTCCACAGCGCTGACTACAAAACTACACACATCTTCCTTGGGATGGCCATTTTTTGTTCCCCTTTCTCTCACAATTAGTAGACTCTCCTTCTAATGTTCCTCCAAAGTCAAACAGGAAGGACCCAGACTTAGCATTTGACTGGAAGCTGGATGTTATTAGACACTGAATTACTAATCCCAAGCAATTGCCTAGGTGCATCTTCTCTCTGACCACATAGTGGCAGACCCTCTCTCTGGCCTCCAATCCATCTTCTCCTTGTCCTGTTAAGAGCACTCCAGGTCTGTGAACAGGCTGATATTATTACAGCTCACCATGCCTGTTTGAATGTGTAACCTGTCATTCTAAACTGACAGGTTTAGAGTCTCTTTATTTAAGAGACTTCAGTTCTTACAGAAATGGCCCCAGTTCTCAGTTTTAAGAGGCACTGTGGAGATTTCCAAACAAAACATAAAGGATGGAACTGTACTTTTTCTCCTGAGCCCTATCAGTTTACCCCTTCCTCCCATGGTCACTTGGGACTCCAGCCCCAAGGCTGGACCTTCCTGCTGTCCAAGGCTTTGCCTTAGCCCAGTTGCTGTCTCCTCGTGTGCCATTTGTAGTAAATGCTTGCACCATGAGCACAAACTCAGCAATGAACATAGAGACATCTAAGTGCCATCTTTCTGGCTCTACAGAAACTAGAGATTGTACCTACGCAGAGGAACTGGGTGAGACTCCAAGGTCAAGGTCATACACAATGGAGCACTAGCCTCTGAGTTTCCATCATTGGCTGTGCCCTCAAAAAAATCGACTTGCAGCAACTGTATGACAATGGCCTCAGGATGTGCTCAGCAGAAGATGACAGTCCTTCAAGAAGAGACAACAGTCCTCCAGGAGTCCCACCATCTGGGGCCCAGTCCTTAGGAAGGTGTTCTTTGGCCAAGAAGTATCTTTGGCCAAGAGAAAGACATCTCTTCTTGGTAAATGACAGATGATTAGGACTGCTACTTTTGTTCTCAGATAATGCATAAAATTGAAGGAAAACCTGGGAGGGAAAGACCCATGCTATTGAATGGGACACCTTCAAGTTAGAAGTAGATGTAGTTTGAAGGAACTTTCAGAAAGCAAGATGGTTTCTTCTTGGTCCCTGGAATGACCTTCCTGTGTTTGAAGAAACTCAGATGCTAGGTGGCAAATGGTACCAAGGAAAACTTTAGATAGTGATTCCAACTACACAAATACTAATACAGAACTAATGAAGTGAGCTGAGAGCAACTTAAAAGTTGATTTGGCTCTGCTAAAGCAATACTAATTATAGTCATTCATGTAAACTATTTACATTTATGCCTAATAACCAGGCAGGGCATTAATTTTATGATATCATTAAATGTATAATATTAATTTTGCTCTAAGTTTTACTTGGTTAAATTAATACTCTCCATTTTTCATGCTCACATGCCAGTTTACTTCTTCTGAGTTTAGTTATTTTATAAACCATTATAAGACAAGTTGAAGGAAGGCAGACAGAGCCTCTGAATGTTGCCTTCAGCTAACCCTTGCTCCCAAAGCTTGGATGGACTCTAAAGAAGTCCTAGGACTTCTGTGGGCATCAGTGATCCTGGGCCCAGCCAGTCTCATTCATAGAGCCAGCCCTTTGGAAAAACTGGCCTTGTGGGAGTCTCTAGGCCTGAACAGTATCATAACAAGCTTGGGTCTGAACATACCAAACAAACTGTCTTTAAAAAAAGAGCACACCAGTCTTGGGAAGGAGGACCATTAAGGTACTGTTCTCAGCAACAGCATCATTAAGCAAGCTCAGAGTCAGAAAACTTATGTTCAGATCCCTGATCCTAGAATCAGCTCATTTCCTCCTGGTGCCCTTGGGGAAATACTCTGACCTCCTCCCACACTGGGGTAGCACTGGCCCTATTCCCCCCGCACCCCACATTGTCAGAAGGAGCAAACAGGAGAGCGCATGTGACAAGTGTTCAGAACCACCAAGCCTGAGATAAACGTAAGGTGTTGTTTAATCCTACAATTACAATCATGTGCTGTGGAAGACAAGAGTGATGCTCTCTGAGAGGAGGAAGGTCTTAGTTTCAAGGATGAAAGGGCAGCTATGGTTAGAAAGGCTCAGAGGCAATCAGAAGATGAAGGAAAAGCTTAGTCAATAAAAGCTCCTGTCAGAGCCATCCATTAGCGATGCAAGCTGTGTGTGAGCAGGAATTGGAGAGCCACAGCCCGTGTCTGTGGGGATCCACAGTGGCTGCGAGAGTGGCAATGGTGAAAGGCATCTGAAAAGATCTGTGGATATGATGAGCTACATTCCAGCCAGGCGCACCATATTCTGCCCTCAAAGGAAAGAGACAACCCATCAAGTCTGCCTACTATACACATCATTTTCACCATAACTCCTAAAACCACTCATGTTGCCTAATACACACAAACACAGACTCTGCAGTCTCCTCTATGAGGAGTCCCTCATCTTTCCAACACTCGCTGACCCTTTGTCTGAACTCTTTGACATACTTTGTTTCCATTTAATTTCCAGTGGTCCTGACCTATTTGGGTTTCATCTGGGTTGGGGCTGTCTCTACTAGTCTATGAAACGTTTAGACTTTTATGTCACCCACAAGGCTTGTGCTCAAAATGCTAATGAATAACTGTAACAAGTCAACTTACAATTCTGTGTACCAAGCACAGAAGCTCGTGGACCACTTTGTGTGAACACTAGATTCTAGTGTTGGAATGTTTGTTTGATTAACCTACCTCCTTGTTCCAGTGTTATAATCTTTGCCACAACATCTTCATCAAACTAGGCTAGAACATCTCTGATGACAGGGAACTTGCTGTCTAAGCAGTACTTTTATCTGGGAATATTCTGGTTCACAGAAATCTGTCTTCCAATGACCTTACCCCTTTCTATCTAAAAGCTTTTCAAATATTTGAGAACAGCATCAAGTTCAAGGAGTTGCCTCAAGTTCAGGCCATGTTTCTCTACTTCACTCAGTTGTGTCTCATACCCATTTTACTTATTTATCTTGTAAGTCTGTATAGGTTCCTTCACTCCTCTCTGAATGGGCTGTTATTATCTTTCCCAAGGCAGGGGGCTCCAAACTGAATGCTCCATGCCCCATTACTGCAGATCTGAGCTCCTGCCTCTCCTATTCTAGGTAGTTCACCCCCATTCATGCAGCCTACAATCACATGGACTTTTCTTGGCAGAGACATCATGGTTGATGGATAAGGAACACATTTGTTAAAGAAAACCTCTAAACTTTATTTCTCTGTGATTATTTTTGTTTTTAAGATCATGCCACTCAATCATATCTCTCCCACCTTGTACTTCTGCTATTGGCTTTTTGAACACAGAAGAAAGTCTCAAATGCAATTCTGTTAGATTTCACGTTCATTAACCCCAGTGCATCTTTCCAGCTTTCACTCTATAAATGGATCCCAGTTAGACATCCAGTATATTAAATGACCTTCTAAGTTTTACTGATATTTGAATTTTAACATACATGGAGAATTCAAGCTAAATAATGTATATGTTAGATTTTATAATTTATCTGAGAGTTATTTAGAAGAGTATTTTTAAAATACAAAAATTATTGGTTTCTAGTTTTATTTCATTACAGAAAGGGAATACACTGGCAAGGTATTTAACCTTTGGAATTTATTACCCTTTTCTCTGTAGCTAAAAACATCAGTTTTTCTAACTTTTATGAGAAGAATCCATATTTTATTTATAACATATACCATTCTATCCTAATGCCTTAAGTTTGATGGTTTAAAATATTTTATATCCATGTTCTTTTGCCTAATGTTTTGAGATAAATTTGTTAAAGTCTTCTAGAGTCTTGTTAGTATTAAGTTTTTTCCCAAAAGATTCTGCCTATATATATTGCTGCTATATTGTTTGTTGTGTAACAATTTATATATGTTGGATTCTCTTTGTGGATGAAATTTTTTTATTTGTATAAAATATTCCTCTTTATCTCCCTTAATTTATTCCATTGGTAAAAATGTTGAAGAAGAAAGGACTGCAACCTGTAATAGAGCTTTCTGAAGTATTAATTAATAATATGTGGATATAATTATTCAACCTGTGCTTTACTCACCATTCTTAAAGTTCTCCTTCCAACTTCCAACCCTTGGCAGTGTCTTTTTAATGATCCCTCCCTCTGCTATCTGAGCCTGTCATTTGGAACTACATAAGGAGGGAAGGAGAAAGAAGTAGATGAAAGAGAACGGAGGAAAAGAGATCTAAGTTCTTAGTGAGAGAGAAGGGTACATTTGTGAAAAAATGTGTGCAGTAGTAAAGGAGCATTAAAAGACAGATGGCAGGGATGGATTAAACCCAAGGTGCTTCAGTCCAGAGGACTAAGTATGGAGAGATCTATACATCACCACTGACTTTAGATAGCGTTGACTAAGCCCTTCTTAAAGTATGACTCTGGGTCAAATAATGTAGACTTAAATTATGTTCTATG